CCACCCTGTCCCCATGTGCTCTGACTCTGGTAAGTCCCACCCGAGCTCCCCCAGGACCTGACAGCAGCTGGACATGGTGAGGCTGGCTCCTCCCCAGCGGGGCTGCCCAGGGCCAGGCCTTGCCATGGGGAACCCTTTTGTGCTCCTAGTGCCTGGCAGAGAGTAGGGCCCTACTGAAGCTGAAGACGGGGCCAAGCTCAGGAGACCAGCACTGGGAGGAAGTGGGTGGACAGCTGGTGTCGCCGCGTGCGGCCGCCTCGCCGGGGGATACCGCGCGTGTCCAGCGCCAGGAACATGGGCCGGCCTTGGCGGCGCCAGCGCAGCGAGGCGTAGGTGTTGTAGCCGTTCTCCTCAATGCGCTCCCGGAACCTGCAGTCCACAGAGTAGGCGCGCTGCGGGGCAAGGGGCGGGCCTTGAGCCGGGGTACGCTGTCCTGACCCTCCACCCTGCGCCCACCGCCGGGGCCTGCCCAGTACTCACCGACCCATACAGGCGACCCCTTCGGTTCATGGCCACGTAGAAGCCAGAGTGCACAGCCTTGATAGCTACAGCGCCCACGCGAACAGAGCGGATCTCAACCACGCCTGTGGGGAAGTTCGGGGTCAGCACAGCCGCCACCCAGGGTCCCGGCTCCTCCCCAATTCCCAATCACATGCTTTGTGCACCACCAGTTGGGTGGGGACCCTGAGTGCCCCTCGGAGGTGAGCAGTGACCACAGGTGGAGACCAGCAGGGTGAGACTAGGAGTCCTGGGCCCGCTCGGGGCCTGGCAGCTAGCTTCTGACCCTGGGAGGAGGGTGCATTGCACCCCCACATCCGCACTGTGCAAGCCAGTGTCTGGAAAGGAAAGCTTGTCTAGGGCGTGCCTGCTGTGGACCAGAGCCGGCTCCCAGTCCAACACAGTGGATTCAGGAAAAAGCTCTCCACCACCCTCAGCCCCTCAGGGCACAGGGGCCTCGTCTGAACCTCAGTCTGCCCTCTGGACCTGGAGGACTGAGACCCTGTGGGGCAGCCAGACAGTCACACTGCCTCCCAGGCCACTCTTTTCAGTCACCCCAGGACCTTTGCACCTGCTATTTCCCAGCCTGGTATGCAGAGGCTCAACCAGCCACTCCCTCAGCAAGGCCCCCACGTCCTGGGTGATGCGGCTGGCCACCTTCCCACATACATCCCACTCTACTTTGCACCTCACATTTCTCCCCTCTGCACTGGGAGCCCCATGAAAGAGAGGAGCCATCTCAGTCACCACTTCACCTGTGCCCACCACAAGAGAAGAGAAATACCCAGTAGTAACCCCTGAGTTACTTAGAGCCCTAAGCTCCACCCACAGAGCTGTCTCTCATCTGTCACCCCTGGTCCCTGACCAGATAGGGAAACCAAGGCTTAAAGCAATGACCATGCTGGGTAACCTGGCACAGCCAGGCCTCTCCCCCAGCCTGAGGCCACCCCACCTGGCCATGCCACCACTGCTGGACCTGCCTGGCCAGTCCCCTGTCACTGCCCTGGTCGTGTGCACCCTAATTGAGGGCCTTGCGGCCCCAGATGAAAGGCTTGGGAGGGGCAAGGCGACTGCTGGCCTGTGTGTGGCGATTTGTGCTGCCCGCCCTGAGCATGGCCCCTGTCCGGCTCCTGCTGGTGCTTGGCACTTCTGGCCTGGCCCCTTCTTGCCTCTCCACTGACACTGAGCACCTGCGCTCTGGGCAGGGCCCAGCAGGAGGGGCGGAGGAGGCCGGAGGCCCAACCCCACAGGGCCCTGGAGAGACCAGAGCCCACCTATTTCCTCAGTTCCCAGCTTGGACTGGGATCAGAAAAGAACCCGGATCCTGGCTTTACTTCAGGAAGCCCAGGGTTCAGTGCCCCTCTTTTCTTTTCTTTGGTGCTAGTGGGCTAGGGATGCTGGGCTACCCAGAGTAGGTTTCCATCTTCCTGCCTCAGCCTCCCAGAGTGCTGGTATGGTGTGTGTGCCATTGCGCCTTGCCGGTACCCAACTCCGGGCAGGCTGGGCTCAGGGCACTTCAGGCTGCCTCAGTTTACCGCGGGGCTAAGTGACCCCACTTGCAGTCCCTCCTCTGCAGCGAGGTCAGGGCCTGACTGTCAACCCTCGATCGTGAATGCTGCACCCATCGAACGGCGGTGGGAGCAGGTGACGCCCGGGCGCTGCCCTCGCTGCCGTCGCCCCCGCCTGGTGCATCCCTGCCCCGCGCACTCACTGTCCTGGTCCTGGCGCCAGCGGGTCCCCTGCACGCGGCCGCTGGGGTCCACGCGCAAGAAGAAGTGGGTGGAGGAGAAGAGGCGTCGCCAGCGCACGTCGCCCTCCAGGTGCGGGTAGCTGCGCGGCCTCCGCGCTGCGTTTGGGGTCCCCGCGGCGCCGGGCGCCCGGGCCAGCAGCAGCCAGGCCAGACCCAGCCAGAGGCGGCGGCGCATGGCCCGCTCGCCCGCCCCGCGCTCCTGCCTTTCGCGGCCGCTGCTAAGCCCTGCGCGGCCGGGGCGGGACGCCAGCCAGAGCGCACGGCCAATGGCGAGCCATGGGCGTGGTCAGGGGCGTGGGGGCGGGCCTCGTAGGGCCAATGGGATTGCAGGACCGGTTAGGGGGCGTGGCCAGGTGACAGCTCTCGGCGTGTTTGTTTGTCTCGCAGGGTGGAGCGCGCGGCGTGTGAGTCTCCGTGCGGGCCCGCGAGCCTGGGTTGCGCGGAGGTGGGGGGCGGGGTCGGCGGGAGGGAGGGAATCACTGACGGGAGAGACAGACCAGAGAGGGACCAAGACGAGAGACGGGAGGAAGAGGACAGACCGCGGGGGACGATGCCCGGCCAGACCGGCGTGGTGGCACGCGCCTACTATTCTAACACTCGGGAGGCTGAGGCAGGAGGATGGCTGGGAGTTTGACGCCAGCCTGTGCTATGCATGTGTAGTGAACTCAAGGCCACCCTGAACTACCCAGGGATCTAGGGGGACCCTGTCTCACAAACAAAGCCAGGAGAGACAAACAGATACACAGGGACAGAAAAAGCTAGAGACAGAGGCTGTGTTGGATGGAAAGTAGTGACAAAAAAAAAGAAAAGAGGTGACCGTGCTAGGAATAGTGGTACACACCTGTCACCCTGGTCACTGGGGAGGCTGAGGCAGGAGAGTAGTGATTTCAGGGGCAGCCTTGGCAAGTAGCAGCCTGTGAAGAGGGAGGTGGGAGGGCCTAGTCTGCGTGTCTGGTGGCAATGGCCCGGATCTGGACTGCACTTCTCAGGTGGCACTCGCCTCCCCTCCACCTGCCGGAGGGATCGGAGGGTGTGTCAGTGGCTGGAGGAGCCATCCAGGTGACTGCCAAACTACGGGGCACCAGGAACCCCCTTCACACCCACACCGCGCCCACTCCCAGCCTTACCCCAGACCCACTCAGTACCCCACTCCGAGGGCCTGCCCACATCACCCACATGCTCTGGGGGCTGAGAGAGGGACGAAGAGCCAAGTGGAGTCACCATCGGGCGGGGAAACTGAGGCTGGGTGGGGCAATAACTTCCCCCACACCGGGCAGGTCTCATTCAGGATTCCAGTTCTCCTAGGCCCCAGGCAGCAGCTTTAAATAGCAGCAGGGTGAAGACAGCCGGAGAGCCTGCCCTTTTGGGGAGCCCTCGGGAGGGCAACCAGTCCAGCCAGACGCCAGGATTCCTTTCCAGTGGCTCAGGGGATCCCGACGCTTCCTGACTGCAGGTCACTCTGGAGGAGCTGGGGATCGCTCTGTTTCCGGGTCCAGCTGTGTGTCACAGGGTCCCTGGGCCTAAGTCTGACCCTGGGCCCTGAGGCAGCACCCAAGAAGCCACGGGGTCCTCCCTGACTTCCACACTGGTTCCGCGTCTGTGAGGTGGCCCACCCTGGAGTGTCCCCACCTGCACCTCACAGGGGCAAATTTTTTTTGTTTGTTTGTTTGTCTTTTTGAGGCAGGGTCTCCTATGCAGTTCAGGCTGCCCTTGAACTCACTGTGTAGCCCAGGCTGGTCTCAGACTTGCAACAATCCTCCTGCCTCAGCCTCCTGAGTGCTGGGATGACAAGCATGGGCCACCACGCCCAGCTCCGAGGCAAATTCTTAATGATCTCTTATTGAAATACAATCTTCATGCCATGCAGATCACACACTTAAAGTGGACAATTTGGGGTCATTAATGCACTCACAAAGCTGTGCACCTGTAATTCCAGAAGATTCCATCATCCCAAAAGAAGCCCCATCCATCTCTATGAGCAGTTAGTTGCCTGTCCCTTCCCAGCCCTCAGCCTGCTTCCTGCCTCAGTGTAATGCCAAGCAGAAACCCCAAATGACACCCCGGATTTTGAGGCAGATTTATCTACCTAAGCAGGCACTGATTGGGATCCTTCCCAGAATTCCAGGCTTCCAACTCTGGTTTTTTGGGCCTTATATGGGATAAGCAAGCAGGAGGTACAGAAGCAGCATGGCGTGTCAACTGGGGATTGGTTTATACAACGTGCATCACAGTGACAGCTGTTGCTAAGAGCAGCAGCAGGAACTGGCCCAGGAACTGTCTCCTGGGTCACCAAATACACTGGCTGGGGAGGGGCGTTTTCCGCTCTGGCTGCCACATCTCCACTTTTGTGGTTGTGAACTGCGCTGCTGTGAGCCAGGGTCCCAGGCTTTGCGTGGCCCTGTGTTTTTCTTTCTCTTAGGCATATTCTGTCTGGAAGCTGGCATGCCGTCTCCCATGGCAGTTCTAGCCTTTGAAGCTGCCATGTTTTCCCACCACAACCACACAGTTTTATTCCTGACGAGGCACAGGGTTCTGGCGTCTCCACCGTATCTTCTCCTTATCGCCGGGGTGAGAGCCACACTGGCAGGGCAAAAGGGGTATTTCTTTGTGGTTTTCTGTCCTCTTCTTTTATTTTTATTTCAGCTTTGTTTCCAGTATGAGGGATTGAGCTCACCTTGCCCTGAGCTCTATCTCCAAGCCTTTTTACTTTTTATTTTGAGACATGGTTTTGCTGAATTGCCCTGGCTGACCACGTACTTGAGATCTTCCTGCCTCAGCTTCCTGATGACAGCTATGTGCCACTGTGCCTGACTAATAAAGATTTCTTTTATACTAAGAAAAGAACCCTTAAAAAGAAAAAGAAAGAAAGAAAAGAACCCTTGGCCTTCATCTGGCGCTATGTGTTCAACTGCTGAGCTATACCATCAGCCTTTTGCTGAGTTTTTGGAGGACTTGAAGCTTACAGAAAAGTTAAAAGGAACAAGAATCATTCACCAAACACCTGCATATCCTACCTCGAACTCCTTAATTCTTTATATTTTTTCTGCTTTCCATCCATGCAAGAATGGGTAAAGCTGTTCTCACAAAGTCTAATGATGGAATACTACACAGCCGTGAAAAGGTCTCCACTATACATAGCATGGATGGGTGTCTCCAGCAACATTGAGTCAAAGAAGACAGACAAAGGGATTGCCCTGATGGGACATTTTAGGAAAGGGCTCCAGGGACTCCAGGAGGCTTTGGGGCTGATATACTCTGTCACTCTTCCTAGGATGCCTGTGTTCAATTTGAGAAAATTTGCCAACCTCAGCCCTCCCCATCCTAGCTCTGTGGATTGAGCCCAGGGCCTTTGAACGTCATGATGAGCCCTTTTGCTTTTTTATTTTATTTGAGACAGTCTTGTTTAAGTCACTGAGTTACCCAGGTTAGGTTCCAACTTGCGAGCCTCCCACCTCAGCCTTCCAGGTTGCTGGGTTGATAGGTGAGTCCTGCCACTACAAAGGGAGACTTTTCAGATGGAAGAGGAGATGGCCACGAGAGAATCAGCCAGGCTGGGGTGTCCCGGGCACAAGGCCAGGACTCCTGGAGGCCTAGACACGGGAGAGGCAACAGGACCTTCCTTGGTGTCTTGGGCTGGAGACAGGCCAGGATCTCAGCCCAGGGACAATGACCCAGGACTCCTCTAGAAATAAGAGAGAACAAACTTCTGTAGGTTTAAATTATCGAGCCGTGGTGATTTATCCTGGGAGCGTGGGGATTGTTTACCTTTGCCACTGTGGACTTCTTTCCTTGGTCTTGGGAACTAAATCCAGGGCCCGTGCATGAGCGCCACCTCCAGCCCTGTTTTTTTTTTTTGTCTTTTTCGTTTTTATCGGTACCAGGGATCGAACTCACGACTGCCTGCTTGCAAGGCAGGCGCTTATGCCGCTGAGCTAAATCCCCAGCCCCTCCAGCCCTGTTTTAATTTATTATTTGAGGCAGGCTCTTACTAAGTTGCCCAGGCTGGGCTCGAACTTATGACCCTCCTGCCTCAGCCTCAGGAGTGCGGCTGTGTGTGTGTGTGTGTGCGTACCACCACGCCCAGCCCACGCCTCATTTTAGTTTTGTGGGGCCTGCCAGGCTGCCGTGTTACTGTTTCTCTTCCTTCAGTTTTATGTGGAAATTTGAGATCATTGTCAGAAGTGGAAAAACAGGTGTCACACACTGGCTGGTTGACAATCAGCCACAAAGGAATACAATGAAGAAGCCGGGCGTGGTGGCACACGCCTGAAGATCCCAGCACGGGGGAGGCTGAGGCAGGAGGGTATGAGTTCAGGGCCACCTTGGGAAACTCAGCCGATTCAGAGTTGACTACTACATTTCGAGACTCTGGAAAAGATAAAATTAAAAAGAAGAAAAACACAGTGAAAAGAACACCTCACACCCAGGGAGCTGCGTCCAGTATGGGTGGATACCGACAGAGTTTCTCAGGGCTGTCATGAGCAGCATTGCACGGGGACTGAGAAGGGAATGATTCCCTGCCAGAGCGGGGAACGGGGTGCACATCTGTGATCCCAGGACTCGGGAGGCTGAGGCAGGAGGATCTCTGTGCGTTTGAGACCAGCCTGGGCTACAAAGTGAGCTCAAGGCCAGCCTGAACTACACAGGGAGACCCTGTCTCAAAAAAATACAGAGCCAGAGAAAGAGAGAGAGAGAGAGAGAGACAGAGAGAGACAGAGAGAGACAGAGAGAGAGAGAGAGAGAGAGAGAGAGAGAGAGAGAGAGAGAGAAGCTGGGCATAATGGTTCATATCTGTCATTCCAGCACTCAGGAGGCTGAGGCAGGAAGATCTCTATGAATTCAAGATCAACCTGGACTACAGAGCAAGACCCTGTCTCATAAAAACCGGAATAAGCAGGTTAAATAGAAGAGAAATCTGAGGATAAAAAAATACAGAAAGAATCCAGAAGTCTCAGCATGCATCTGAGCCCCGGCTCTGCTGTCAGGGGCGTTTCTAGGACCCCGGGGAGCAGGTCCTGCTGACTCAGTCTGAGGGGTCAGGAAGGTGACCCAGGGCTGAAGTCATGCAGCACCGCGGGCATCCCAGGGTGAGCTGGGCAGGTGAGGGTGGCTGCTGCTGTCTGCCAGACACATTCCTGCCTGTTGGCATCACCGTGGACAAGCAGCGTGGGAAGCTCTGCCTGGAATGTGCTGTTTGCAGATGCTGCCCTCCCCTGGGCTGGGCGGGGAAATGGAAATCAGGCACTAGGGACAGCGGGAGCGTGGGTGGAGGAAGGGCAGCGTGTTCAGTTCCTGAGCCCCTCAGTACGACCTTTTCTTCCCTTCCCACCGAACTCAGCTCAGATCCTGCAGCCTACCCCAGGGCCTTTGCACTTGCCAACACTACAGTCACCCCAGGGGGATCTCACATGCTGTAGCGCCCTCTAGTGGACCTCAGTTTCCTTGACCATACTCATGTGGGCAGGCCTTCCAAGAATCTCTTGGAAGGTGGAGAAGTATCTCTCTAGAAAAGACAGATGCTTGGGGTTTATTTGATAAACTGAGTCCTGAGGGAGTGGATAAGGAAAATACTCAGGAACACGAGGTCCCGCTGTCTCTTGGCTTTTCAGCTGGGACTCAGACAGAGCTGTGCTTTTGCTTTAGACTCCCTAACATCCGTGCTGAGCATCTTTGGGTCACTTTACTGACCTCTCTGGACCTCGAGTTCCTCCACAATAAAGGGAAGATAGTAATTTTTACATTTTGTTATTGGTGCATTTTAGGTCTGTATAATGCATCACACATGCTTCACAGCAATTTGTATCTATGTGCGATACATCTTCTTTCTTCTTTTCCCATTCCCCTCCCCTCCCTCAACCCCTCTCCCCCTCCTTATTTACAAAGCTTTGTTTTTATTTTTCCTTCTATTTTTTTGTCCCTCCTTTCCTGTTCCCCTTATCATTTGAACATTTTCTTTCATTTACCAATGTCTATCATACATTTTGGTCTTTGTTTACATTTCCAGCTTCTCACACTAGAGAAATAATGCAGCATTTAAACACGTGTGTCTGATTCATTTCACTTAAGACTATGGACTCATTCTCTTAAGTATGAACTCTTCTATTTAGCTAGAAGTGTCTCAGGCTTATCCTTCTTTCTGGCAGAGTAATACTCCATTTGTATAAAAAACCTCACATCTTTATGAGTTGATGGACATTTGGGCTGTTTCCAAGATTTAGCTATTACAAATTGTGCCGTTATAAACATGGGTGCACATATATTACTTTGGAATGATGTTTTTAATTCTTTCAGGACAAGAGCAAGAAGGGGAATAGCTGTGTTGAACGCAACCTTCGTTTTAGTGGGGGATTTTTTGTTGCTTTTCTGGGGGCGGTATTTTTGAGACAGAGTCTCACTAGGCAATTCAGGCTGGCCTTGAGCACACTTCGTAGCCCAGGCTGGTCTTGAACTCGCAACGATCCTCTTACTTCACCCTCCTGAGTGCTGAAATCATAGGCGTGCGCCACCAAGCTTGGTTTATCTTTCCATTTTCTGATATCCTTTTCAGTCTCCTAGGTGAGTATGCTTTTTAAAAAACAAACAAACAAACAAACAAACAAACAAAAAAAACGGATTAAGGTCCTTCCCAAAAAATCATGGCCTTAGATGAACCCAAATTGCCAAGGCAACGGGAGGATCAGCCCTATCCCGCGCTCTCTGGCCCCGCTCCCTTCTGGGAGTTGTGGTTCTGGCGGAACACTTCCGGCTAGAATGACCCTCCGCAGCTTCCGTTGGTCGCTGAACCACAACTCCCGGCAGGAGGCGCACGCGCGTGCGCGGTGCGAGCGCCAGGGTAGGCAGCATGGCTGCCCTGCGCTGGGGCCGAGGTGCGGCGGGGCTCAGCAGGGCGCTGCGGTCCCCGGGCCGCCCCTGCACCACGACCAAAGAAGGTAACGTAGCGCGGGCCCTACGGCCTGGGGCGACCTTCTGCCCCTGCTCCTTGCGCCGTGCGGTGTGACCTTCGGCTTTCCGTGGCCGGGATCGCCCAACCTTCGCCCTCTGCGGAGCCCTGGGAGCCCGCTACTGCACCCGGATTTCTCGGCCCCGCCTCCCGAGGGGTCCGCACCACCCGGGACGCTGACCTTTGACTCCTAGTCACAGCCCCCTGACCTCTTGACAGCTGATGGTTCCCCCTGAGTTTAGGGACACTTTGCTTTTTGACTTTGCGTTTTGTCCGTGAGGGACCCCTAGGCCACTTCGGCCTGCTTTGTTTCCCCCCAGGAATCCTCGATGGCCTCTGGGGCCCCAGATTGAACTCGTCCGCCAGCCCCTGTGAGCAGGAACGCCGGAAGGACTGGGGCCATGTCGAACTGCTGGAGGGTGAGCAGGGGCTGAAGCTCCATCCTCTCTGCTGGAGTCTGCCCTTGAGTCCCCACAGCGATCCCCACGAGAAGAGAACAGGCTTCCCAGTGTGCAGAGACAACCCTGAGGCGCGGGGTGTGGTCCCCAGGGCCAGCTGAGATGGTGGCATAGGGAGGCACGAACAGCTCAGACATCCAACGTGTGCCCTCCTGGCTCTTGTCGTGTGCCAAGCTGGCTGCGAGCTCTTGATTCTTCTCCAGGGCTGCCTCTGCTAGGGAGACAGTTAGGGCTCCTAATTAGGGGTATGGGTAGCTACACGCCCAGAGCTGAGGTTTGAACCCTCTATTGCCCATCTCTGGTTTGAAGGTTGAGTGACTGAATCTAGATAACAAGATAGCCCGGGGTCTGTGGTCAGAGGTAGGCATAGTGTCTTCATCCTTTCGTCTCCCTGGTCCAGGCCAGGGTTCAGCATCTGGGTTCCCCTCCCTGCTTATTCGCTGAGTCCAGGAGGCAGGCATGTGAAGGAGGAAGGAGATTGTGGAAAGAACTTGTTATAGAAACAGAAAAATCACCGGGTGTGGTGGCTCACGCCCATAATCCCAGCACTCGGGAGGCTGAGGCAGAAGGATCACTTCGAGTTCGAGACTAGCCTGGGCTACAAAGTGAGCTCAAGGCCAGCCTGAACTGCATATCGAGACCCTGTCTCAAAAAGACAAAAAAAAGAAAGAAAGAAAGTTATAGAAAAGTCTAACATACAAGGGCAGAAAGAGATATGGTCACCTTCCACCTTCATCAGCAATGGTGCCTCTCTTATCTGCGTAATTGTTTTATAGCAAGGTCCAGACTCATCAGAAACCAGAAGGAATTCCTAAAATCTTAAATCATGTATTCCCTAGTTTTGTCCTCTCCTGAGCAGAATAACAGTGCCCTGCTCTGCTGCTCATCTCCTGCAGCAGCCAACACTGGCCTCTCTGCTGAGGGAGAGCTGAGCCACTCCTGCCCCAGGACCTTTGAACCTGCTCCTCCCCTGCTCTGTGTAAGGCTGGTGTTTCTCACCTCCCAGGTCTCAGCTTGCTTGTACCTCCCCTGGAGAAACCTGCATCACATTTGCCTCCTTTCCTTCTCCATGCCTTCCACCATTTTTTCTAAAGATGGCTCCTGAGATTTGAAATACTCTGAGGGATGAAGTCATTGTTATCTTTTTATTTCATTGCAACAAATCTGTCCTGAGCACAGCTGAGTGCAGGGTAGATGGGCTGTTGTCCAGATGGAGGAAGCAGAGAGCAGGGGTCGGTATGTGGGGTTTGACTGTTGCTGGATTCTGTTTTCACACCCACCTGCCCACTCAGACAAGTGTGTAACCTGGAAACCACTCGCAAATGTGCACAGACAGGCACCTGGACCCGGCCACCATGCCAACTTGAGGCCCTGAGGTGCTTGCCTGTGTTCCCTTAGCTTTTACTATAAGCGAGGACCCTTTATATGACGTTATTTTTTTCTTTCCTTCTTTTTTCTTTTTTTTGGGGGGGGGGTTTTCAGTCTCTCTAGGTAGTTTATTTAATTTTTTCTTTTTTGGTACTGGGGATCGAACTCATGACCCTGTGCTTACCACGTAGGTGCTTATGCAGCTGGACTAAATCCTTGACCCTTTCTAGGTAGTTTAGGCTGGCCTCAAACTCACAGAGATCCTCCTGCCTCAGTCTCCTACGTGCTGGGACTATAAGCATCCGTCACCACAGCTGGTTTATGTAACATACTGAGTGCCAGCTTTCTTGCATGTTTGTGCTTTCTGGTGGTGATCTTCTGGTTTGTTTTCACTTTGTTGTTGTACCGGGGATTGAACTTACGACTGCCTGCTTGCAAGGCAGGCACTTATGCTGCTGAGCTAAATCCCCAGCCCCCTGTTGTTTTTCATACAGGGTCTGGCTGTGTAGTGTAGGCTGGCCTTGAGCTCACCATGGAGCTCCTGGCTTCCACCTCCGTGATCCTCCTGCCTCAGGCTCCTGAGTGCTGGAATTACAGGAGTGCATTACTACACCCAGCCTGGTTTTGGTGTTTGAGACAGGTCTCACTGTGTAGCCCAGGCTGGCCTCAGACTAACAGTGATCCTCCTGCCTCAGCCTCCCAGGTGCTGGGGCTCCTGGTGTGCTCCACTGTACCTGGCAAAGAAGGATCTTTAGAGAGAAATCCAAAAGCAGCCGTGTGCAATGGTCACTTGATACAACATGCCTGGAGGCGGGTGTGGGGCTGTTCGCCTGTCACCCCAGCACCCTGGGGGTTGTCGTATTCGGATCCCAAGTTTGAGGCCTGTGTGGCTACCTAGGGAAATCTGTCTCAAAAAATCCCAAAGAAAGACAGCAATGGGAAATGACTGGGGGCTGGGACGGAGCTCACTGCGCAGAGCCTGCCTAGCAAGCACAAGGTCCTGAGTTCCATTCCTGGTACTAAAACAAAAAGTACCTGGAGGACACAGCAGCCTGGCTTGCCTGTCCCTGGGCTGGCCAGGGTGGCCTCCTCCGTGATGGGCGGAGCAGCCCAGTGAATAGGTGGAGAAGCAGTGTGAGGAGGGCGACCCAGGCGGGCGGGCCTGGGAGTAGGCGTGGGGTCAACGGGCCGAGGGAGCCAGGGGCAGAGCCTGGGCGCCTGCAGAGAGGGGGACCCGAGATGGGGAGTCGTGGGAGCTGACTTGGGAGGACCCCAGAGGGGTTGGGGCATCAGCGTGAGGCCAGGGCAGTGCAGGGAAGCCAGGCTGGAAGGGAAGCCTGGAGGCTCTCGCCCCCAGAGGCTTGTGTTCAGGTGCTGAGTGAGTCCCCTGTCCTCTCTCCTCAGTGCTGGAGGCCCGGGTGCGGCAGCTGCAGGCTGAGAGCGTGTCCGAAGTGACCGTGAAGAGGGTGGAGGTTGCTCGGGTCCCGGCTGACGGCGGCAAGGCGGGTGGCACTGCACCCCCTGCGAAGGCCCGGGTGCAGCCGAGCGGGGCCTGGGCCCGGAAGCTGGAACGGGACCGGCAGCTGCTGCAGAGGCAGCAGGCACTGTTGAAGGAGGAGGCGCGGGGGCGCAGTCCGCTCCCCGCCCCCAGGCCCAAGCCCAGTGTCAAGGCTGAGGCCAAGGCCAAGGGCAGGCCCAAGCCCGAGGCCATGGGTAAGGCTGTGGCCAGGTCAGCAGCTGCCCTAGAGGGCAAGGCCAAGCATTCCGCTGGGTGCGTGCTGCCCCCCACCGAGCCCCAGCCAGAGTCCCAGCAGTACGGGTGGATGGGACTGGAGCCCCAGCAGGGCACCTGGGAGCATCGCGAGTGGGAGCGCCTGCAGCCCTGGGAGACCTCCCTGCTGCCCTGCCTGCCGCCCGCCGCCTCCCCACCGCCTGGCAGCGGCAGCAGCGCCCAGGCCTCCTCGGAACTGAGGGCGAAGGAAAAGGCCCAGCAGAACAGGCTCCAGACCTTCCTGGAGGGCTGTCTGGCCACCGGGCAGGTGGGCCTTGCCCACCACATGCTGGTCTGCTACTTCACCAGGCCGAGGAGGCAGCGGCTGCTCGTCCCGGCCATGTTCAATACCGTCATGCGTGGCTGGGCTCAGGAGGTAAGAGCCTGGCGGTCTGGGGGCAATGGTGACACCCGCCCTGTCCCTTCTGTTCCAGTCCTTGACTTGCGGCCCCGAAGTTCAAGTCCTCTTGTTTTTTTGTTTTTTGAGACAAGTTCTCATGAAGTCAGAAAAGTTGTCCTGGCCAAGCTGGAACTTGGGCTTGTCCTGCTTCAGCCTCCCGAGTGCTGGGATGATAGCTGTGCACCACCTCACCTGACTCGAAAAATAATTTTCCCTGGCCTTGCTGCCTGCTGAGGGGTGTGTGCCCCACCTGGGGATGTTGGGTGGACCCATCTATCTACCTGGCTGACCCAGGTGCTCCCATCCGCCAAGTGGGAGGTTGGAGGCAGCAGAAGTGGGGGAACCTGGGCTGTCTGGGCCTTACGCTGGCCTGGTGTCCCCAGGGCTCCTACAAGGAGCTGGTGTCAGTGCTGATCATGATGAGGCACCTGGGCTTTGCCCCAGACCTGCTCTCCTACACCTCCATCCTGCAGTGCATGGGGCGGGTGGACCAGGACGTCACTACCATCCGAAGGTAGGTGGAAACCACCAGGTGGCAGCCTGGGCCTGCGGGGTGAGTGTGCAGATGTCCCTTGCGGCCAACCCACTGCACTCCCTCCCCGCCCGAAGGTGTCTGCAGCAGATGGCCCGGGATGGTCTGCAGCTTGAGCAGCTGTTCTCGGAGGAGAGCCTTTCCCCAGAGGAGCGGGCCGCACTGCTGCGTGCCGTGCTCAAGGCCAAGCCCAACTTCCGCCTGCCACAGCCCTGCCCACAGGTCAGCCCCGTGGAGCTGCTCCAAGAGGTCTACGCCAAGGTGAGCCGGCCTCAGTGGCTCCGTCCTCCCCGGGGCCTCAGGCTCAGCCTTGAGGGTGACAGGCGGAGGCAGGCAGGGTGTGACCCTGGACCCAGTGTGCAGTGCCAGGTAGGGGCCACCAGGTAGCTTCCTGTGGTAGCTCTCGGGACCTGGTGGTTCATCCGTCCACTTCCACTGCATCCACAAGGTCCACTCACCCTGTCTCCATGAGAGTCATCTGTTCCTGCTCCCTAGCCTAGCCCCCAAGAGGTCACCTCCTGTCTTCTGTGGAGTCCCCATCATAGGTGTTTCTTGTCCGAGGAGCTTGTGCTGTGTGTCCTGTGTGTGACCTCTGTCACTGGGCTGGAGCCCCAGGGCAGTCCATGCTGTGGCCAGTGTCACAGCTGTGCTGTCTCTCACAGCTGAGTGATAACCGGGTCTGGAGGGACCTGGGCCGAGTCCACCCTCCTCTGGCTGCTATGGACAGAGCTGCACACACTTCTGTGGAGCCAGGTGTGGTTCAGGCTGGCCTGGAACCCAGGCACACGCTGTGTAACTCAGGGTGGCCCCAAACTATGGGTAACCCTCCTGCCTCAGCCTCTTGAGTGCTGGGATTGCAGGTGTGCACCACCACTTTTTTGTTTGTTTTTATTTTTTGTGTGGTTTGAGACAGGGTCTTGATATACAGTCTAGGCTGGCCTCACACAGCAATCCTCCTGCCTCGGCCTTCTGAGTGCTGTGATCACAGGTGTGCACTGATCCCTGATCCCTATTTTTAACTTGTCCCCTTTTGGAAGACCACACATACCAGGTGTGCGTGGAAAACAGCCAGTGCCCAGGGCCACACATAACCTGGTCTCCTGGCACTGACCCTGGCCTCCCCCGGTGCTTCACCCACAGGACGGCCCCGTGTCCTACCCAAGGCTGCACCTGCCCCTGGCAGAACTGCAGGCCCTGTTCCGGCAGCAGCTGCACGTGGAGCTGGCCGGCAGCATGCCGGTGGAGTCCGTGGAGAAGGTCTCCCCAACCCAGGAGATCCTCCAGGCGGTAAGGGCGGGCCCTGGTTCCCCCAATAGGAGTATCCTCATGGGCCTGTGGCTTGGGTGACCAGCCATATCCCCTACCCCCTTCCCTCTGCAGCGCAAGAACCTGGCGGCCCTGCGCAAGACATGGGAGGCCGAGCTGCACAGCCAGCTGCGGGCCACCAAGGCCAACCTGGCTCAGAGGTCACGCCGGGGTACTGTCACGCTCTACCCCTTCCTGTGCGTGCTCCCCGAGGAGGAGCTGGTGCAGATCCTCCTACAGGTGGTGCCCTGCCTGGGGGAGGTGGGGAGGGGTGAGGAGGGGCGCAGGCCAGCAGCGCTTACACCCCAACTGGACCCAGGTCCTGTTCTCGCTGCCCGCCCAGGGCGAACCCTTCGTGCACACAGCGCACCGGGTGGCCCTGCAGACCTTCCAGCGCCACATCCTGCGGCAGAGGTCATGCCGTGGCCACCTGCAGGCGCTGGAGCAACGCTATGCCAAATACCTGCGACTGCTGGCCTCCGACACCCAGGTGCAGACCTCTCTCCCTTCCGGAGCACCCCGGGTTCCCCTGCCCAGTGAGAACCGGTGGCCCTGAGGCCTGACTCATGCTCCCCACAGGTGGCCGAGCCCTGCCTGCCGCGGCAGCACTGGGAAGCGCTGGGGCCACCTGAGCCCCCGCCGCCACAGCCTTGGCCACTGCTGGAGCTGCTGCTGCTCGGCAAGCTGCTCCTGGAGACCCTGGTGCAGGTGACGCGGCTGCCGGCCAGCCTGGCCTCCCAGCCCACGGCCGGCCACTCGGTGCCAGTGCTGTTCCACGTCTACACCTTCCGCGGCGTCCGCCAGGTGTGCAGGGCTGCGGGTTCCCCCTCGGCTTCTGTGCATGCGCGGCTCCTCTGTCTCCGCCCCGGGTGCGCAGCGGTGGGCAACGCAAGCCAGTCTCACAGGCCGCCCATGTCCCCCACCCAGATCGGCCTGCTGAGGCCGCACCCCGCCTTCGTCCGGCTGGTGGAGGACAGCAAGGCGTCCACACTGACCTTCGAGGCCACGGACATGCCCATGCTGTGCCCGCCGCTGCCCTGGAGCTCCTCGCAGGCTGGGGGCTTCCTGCTGAGCCCCACTAAGCTGATGCGCTCCATAGGGGGCTCCCAGCAGCACCAGCAGCGGCTGGAGAGCTGCCCGCCCGCACAGCTGCATGGTGCCCTGGATGCCCTCACGCAGCTGGGCAACTGCGCCTGGCGTGTCAATGGCCGCCTGCTGGACCTGGTGCTCGAGGTCTTCCTGGACAAGGGCTGTGCCCGCCTGGGCGTTCCACCGCCCGTCTCTGAGGCGCCGCGCCCACCCCTGGACCAGCTGGCGCCCGACACACAGCCCCACCTCAAGGCTCAGCTGCGGCAGGAGGTGGCCCGGTGCCTGAAGGTGGCCCGTGAGATGCACGGGCTGCGGCAGGAGGCCCTATACCGCCTGTCACTGGCCCAGCATCTGCGGGACCGTGTCTTCTGGCTGCCCCACAACATGGACTTCCGGGGCCGCACCTACCCCTGCCCGCCCCACTTCAACCACCTGGGCAGCGACCTGGCACGGGCCTTGCTGGAGTTCGCTCAGGGCCGCCCACTCGGGCCCCGAGGCCTCGACTGGCTCAAGATCCACCTGGTCAACCTCACTGGGCTCAAGAAGCGCGAGCCTCTGCACGCCCGCCTGGCCTTTGCCGACGCCATGATGGATGACATCCTGGATTCCGCCGAGCGGCCCATGACGGTAAGCAGGACTCCCGGCCTGACCCCAGCCCCGTTGCCGCCCCTGTGTCCGTCCCTCAGGCCCCTCCAGCACTCCGGCCCAGCTGCCTCTGTCCTTTTACTGTCCTCCTGCTCCACACCAGTCCCTCCTTTTGGTGCCTTTTCTCTGCCCGTGTCCCCTGCAGGGCCGGAAGTGGTGGATGGAAGCCGACGATCCCTGGCAGACGCTGGCCTGCTGCATGGAGGTGGCGCGGGCTGTGCAGTCCCCGGACCCCGCAGCCTACGTCTCCCACCTGCCGGTTCACCAGGTGGGCTCTGTGCTGCCCCTCTGAGGGCTCCACAGCTGTGAGATGGATGGGGGAGTCTGACTGTGGGGTCGCCCATGCTCTTGAACCCTCTCCTGGTCTCCTGCGTGGGCATCGGGCTCAGGGCTGTGTCCCACAGGACGGCTCCTGCAACGGCCTGCAGCACTACGCTGCCCTGGGCCGAGACAGCGTGGGCGCCGCTTCCGTTAACCTGGCGTCCTCGGATGTGCCACAGGACGTGTACAGTGGGGTGGCCGCACAGGTGGGTACTTAACCCTGCCACCCCCACCCATCACTGCAGAATGGGTTGCAGTAGAGACCAGGGCACCCCCTTCCCTGCCACTGACCATCTGTTACCACTGCAGGTGGAGGTGTTCCGCGCCCAGGACGCACAGAAGGGCGTGAAGGTGGCCCAGGTGCTAGAGGGCTTCATTGGCCGCAAGGTGGTCAAGCAGACGGTCATGACTGTGGTCTACGGGGTCACCCTGTATGGTGGGCGCCTGCAAATCGAGAAGCGCCTCCGTGAGCTCCCCACCTTCCCGCAGGTGTGATCCCTCTGCCCGACCCGGCCCTGCCCCTTGCCCTGGCCCCGTCCTGTCCCTGTTCCAGACCTGGTGCCCACATGCCAAGGAGTCATCATGCCGTGCACCCTGGGATTAGTGGGGTCTCAGGGCTCAAGGGACAGGCTGGGCATGAGGCGTGCAGGTGTGGACACCCCCTATCCCCAGGTCTTTGTATGGGAGGCCTCCCGTTACCTGGTGCACCTGGTCTTCAAGAGCCTGCGGGAAATGTTCTCGGGCACCCGAACTATCCAGGTGTGTCCCTGTGCTGTCACCCTGCCCGGCACAGCCCTGTCCTCAGGAGGGTGGCCTAAGCTTGTGCCTGTGTCCGCAGCACTGGCTGACCCAGAGTGCACGGCTAATCTCCCAGGCGGGCTCAGCTGTGGAGTGGGTGACGCCCCTAGGTATCCCCATCATCCAGCCCTATCATCGGGAGTCCAAGCTGGTGGTGAGTGAACCCCTGTGCACCCCTCTGTCACTGTTCCCCAGCCAGGCCTTTCCCAGGCTGATAGTCCCACCCTGCCCGCAGATCAGAGGCGGTCTCCAGAGCGTCACCTGGAACAGCTCCGTGGATTCTAGCCAGTGAGCCAGGCACCGGTGGGCGGCGGCATTGGTGTGGGGAGCCCCGGGCCCTGCCTGCTCAGCCCCGCCTGGCCTCCTCCCCAGGCAGCCCAACACGCTGAAGCAGAAGAACGGCTTCCCGCCCAACTTCATCCACTCACTGGATTCCTGCCACATGATGCTCACAGCCCTGCACTGCTACAGGTGGGCATGGTGTGTTGCTGCCACCACGGCCTGGCCCCTGCCCACCCCATCCAAGCCACAGGCCACCCCTGCCAGGCAGGCTTGAGGCCCTGGGGCAGTGAGGCATTCAAGTGGGAGGGGACACAGGAGGTGTCCTGCCGGTGGAGCCAGGAGCTGCTGCACACAGCCCACGCATCCGAGGGCTGTTGGGGCAAAGTGGGGTTTGGGGTGCTGTGTGGGAGGCTGTTGCTGGGGGAGGAACAGGGTGCAGTAGACTGAGCCCCAGCTGGAAGGGGCGCTGCGGGGAGAGGGGCTCCCTGCCCCCATCTTTTCCACTTAGTGGATTGGTGCAGAGCGTGCAGGTTGGGGCTGGGGGGCAGGGAGCCCTTCACAGGAGCCCCTCCTGCTGCAGGAAGGGCCTGACCTTCGTCTCTGTCCATGACTGCTTCTGGACGCATGCATGTGACGTCTCCATCATGAACGAGGTGCGTGTCTCCCCCAGCCGCGCCCCCCCCCCCCCCCCCCGCTTCCCCCGCGCCACTCAGGTCCCCTCTGATGGGGCACCCACTCCCTTGAAGGTGTGCCGCGAGCAGTTTGTCAGGCTGCACAGCCAGCCCATCCTGGAGGACCTGGCTGCCTTCTTGGAGCGGCGCTTCTGCCGGGAGGATGAGGACGGGTGAGCCCTGGCCCTAACCCGCCCCTGCCCCTGCCCCTGCCCTTGCCCCTGCCGCTCCGCTGGCCTCATTCCCCGCCCTCCTACAGCGCCCAGGCCCAGGGTGACACTGGGCACAGCGCCAAGCTGCTGGAGATGCTGCGTGCCGTGCCCCAGAAAGGTATGGGTGTTGGGGTGCAGGGGGGCGCAGGGTACTGAAGCCCTGCCCACGGCGCCTGCTCACAGGTCACTCGCTGCCCCCCCCCCCCAGGAGACTTCGACCTGCAGCAGGTGAAGGGCTCCACCTACTTCTTCAGCTGACCAGCGCCCGCCCCTGCACAGTGTAAATAAAGTCTGTCCCCCCTCATGGAGCCGCCTGGTGCTGGCAACGCGTGCGCCCCGCCCCGCCTGCCGAGCAATGAGACGCAGCGCAGGCGCCAGTGCTGTGGTTTATTGCGTGGAATGGGGCGCGGAGGGTTAACGGGGCGCAGGGGCCGCTGCTGTGCTGCTGCCTGGCTGTCAGTACATTCATTGCGGCGGCGGGACCCAGCCTCGCCCCGCGGCGCCCCGGGGCGGGTGTGGGGGAGGGGCCGGGCCGGTTATTGCGTGAGCGCGGCGGGGACAGCAGCGGGGAGCCGGCGGGCGCCCACCGGGGCGGTTGGGCGGCCCCGCAGCCGTCTCCTCGCGGCCAGGGGCCGGCCCGTCCCTGCTCCGGCAGGGGGAACTGAGGCACCGAGGTGAAGGGAGCCCCTCGCTCGGCGCGACCGCCGCCGGCAGGGCAGTGAGGGTGAGCGCGGGCGGGCGGGCGGGCGAGGGAGGACAGCGGGGCGAGAGCGCCGCCCGCCGCCCGTCCGGGCTGGGCTGCAGGCCCGCGGCCCTGGGCTCCTGGGCTCGCGCGGCGGCAGCGGCGGTGGGGCGGGCATGGCTTTGGTCTGGGTGAGCCCCGGCGGCTGGCGGCGCGGGGCGGCGCGCGAGGGTCACAAGTTGGACGAGAGGCGCGAGCGCGCGGAGTCCAGCGGGTCGAGGCCCCCGGCGGCGCCGGGCGAGGCCGAGTCCCTGCGGTCCGGACTGGGGGCAGCGGCGCGCGTGGCGGGCGCAGGCCCCAGGCGCGGGGTGGAGCTGCTGGCCGGGCGCGTGGTGCTCGCGGGCCCCGGGCCGGGCACGCCGTGGGGCAGCGAGGGCTGCGAGGCCGACAGCGGGCGCGATGCGCGGCTCAGACGGCGGGCGGGCAGGGTGGGCCCGGCGCGGGGCCCCGCGGGCGAGCTGGGGGCGCCGCCGCTATAGGGCGAGGTCCGTGGCGCCCGTGGGCTGGCGGGCGCGCCTGGGGGGCTGGCAGCGGGTGCGGGCCCCGGCGAGGAGGCGGCGGCAGCCACGGCTGCGGCGGGAACCGGCCCCGGGGTTGCGCGGCGCACGAGGCGCGGCGAGCCCAGCGCCAGTGGCCCCACGAGCGGCCGCGCCACCTGCGGGCAGAAGCTCATGGCCACGGCCTGCTGCAGTGTGGCAATGGCCGAGGTGACCTGCGGCGGCGGCTGTGGCGGGAAGAGGCCCACTCGCTGGCCCAGCTCGGCCTGCTGCACCATCTCGCGGTCGTACTTGACAATCTCCTGGATGATGGCGTTCTCCTGGTTGTTGAATACGCCCGAGCTCAGGTCGTGCTGCACCTTGTGCAGCAGGATGGAGTTCTTCTTGCCTGCGGGCAGGAGAGGCGGTGAGCACAGCGCATGCATGCGCGGAGGGCTGGCTCCGCGCCGGCTCCGCGCCATGGTCAAGCTAGGCGCCTGCGGTATACAGGTCCCGCTACACGCAGATTGTGTGCCGTGTAGAAGAGCTACTGAGCACCGCTGGATGCTGAAAGCAGGTGTCCGGGCACACTGCGTACAGCAGTGGACACTGAAGCGCATGCTGCTGTACACCCGCAGGCACTCGGGTCCTCCCGGCCCTGCCAGCTCCTTCTTCAGTCATGGGGGTCCTTGCTTTGGGGGGCTCTATCCTCCCTGGCCTTAAGGCCATATGCACCCAACAAATGGGCCATCGTCTTCCTCCCACGATGCCGGCCCCCCAGGATGGAAAACTGAACGGCTGCCCCTTCCAGGTCCCGTCTAGAACCCTCCAGGGCTCCCTAGCACTCCTGCTTTATTGGTTGGTTTTGTCTGCTGTTTCGAGCCGGTCTGTCCTGACCTTTCAGGCTGGCCTGGAACTCCATTCTCCCTCCGTCTCTCGGGCATTGGGGCTACAGTTGTGCACCGCCTTACCCAGCCACCTGCAGGCAGGCCTGACCGTGACACATGGGACACGAGTTCCCAGCCCAACCCCTGGCCCTGTCCATCTTGGGGCTCTACAAACATTTGCCAAGCAAGCAGAAACCCCACAGGCTGGCGCCCCACCTGCAGGGGGAGGTGGGGCCAATGTAGGTCCCGACCCCCCAGCTCCGCCCGCTCACCTATGCGGTCCAGGCGGTCGATGGCCACCGTCTCAAAGGCGCGCCGCATCATGGGGTATTCCTCCAGCACCTCATTGAAGTTGTCAACACTGAGCGAGTAGAGGCGGCAGTAGGTGTCAGCGCGCACGCTGGCCGTGCGCCGGCCCCGGGTGAGTAGGCAGATCTCTGCGGAGGAGCGAGTGGAGGGCTGGGCTGCGCCCTGGCCTGGCCTGGCTAAGCCCACGGCCCACGGCGGCCCTGCACTCACCCCCGAAGTAGGAGCCATCGGACAGCTTCATCTCCTTGTTGCCCTTGGTGAGCACGCTGACCACGCCGTGCTGGATGAAGTACATCTTCTTGCCCACGGTGCCCTCCCGGATGATGTAGTCGCCCGGCTGGAAGACCTCGAACTTGAGCTTGGTCAGCATGGCTGTGACGAAGTTGGGGTCGGCGTTGGCGAAGAGCGGCATGGAGGCCACTAGCTTGCGGCAGTTGAAGTTGACAATCTCCTGCGGGTGGGGCAGGGCAGGGCGGCTCTGTGTCACCCTGCCTTGCTGGGGACTACTGGACAGCTCAGATCCCGATGGCTGGGACCCAGCGGCCAGCATCTGGCTTCACAGACAAAGGCCAGAGGTTCTGCCGGCAGGCACAAGCAGGAGGACGGTGGCCAGGGGCCCTGCTCTAGCCCGGCGTGGGGGGGCTGGCCGGAAGAACTGGGGAGAAACGTCGGTGAGGGAGGGTGAAAAGGAAGAAGGTAAACTGTGTACTGTTGGCCTAAAAAAAGAACAAAGGACCCTGTAGCACAAATCAGGGTGCTAGTGGCCCTGGGCAAGGTGACCATTAGGGGTGTGCATGCCCTGTCTTTGATGTTGGGGGGTTACCAGGGCACTCCTCAGAGGTCCAGCTGTGCCCCCATAAGGTGAGCCTTTTCTGTAAGACATTTCATTGTAAAGAAAATCTTACGTTAATAAGAAAATAAACAGATGCGTCCACACAATCAAAAGCGCTCTGGAGAAGGCTCATGCATGAGCAGAGGGGTTCACAGAGACCCAGAGCGGAGGAGATGGCTCGAGGTAAGCACTCAAAGTCACAGCCCCCCGGGAAGCTGAGGAGCAGGATCCCAAGTCAGGCCCAGCCTTGGTAACTCAGGGAGACTCCGTCTCAAGGTAAAAAATAAAGAAGGCCTAGGGATGCTGCTCCGCGTTTGGCCCTGGGTTCAATCCCCAGAACTGAAGGGAAAGAAAAAAAAGACAAAATTTGTTTATTTTAAAACCAAAGCTAGTCAAGGTCATTTAGAAGAACAAGCTAGCAAAACCCAGCAGGAATCCGATAGGAGATGAGCTTGGGGAGGCAGGACCCGTGAGTCACGCCTGGGTGGCACTGCAGGGGGTCAGAAACAGCGATGCCCTGTGACTCAGTGGTGCCTGGCATGCTTGAAGCTCTGGGCTCCAGCACTAGCACCAAAACAGAAAGTCCCAGCTGGGTGAGATGGCGCACATCTCGGGGAGGCAGGAAGATCTCAAATTTTGTCTCCATTTTAGCCAGACCCTTAGTTGAAAAATAAAAAAGCAGCTGGGGATGAAATGGAGCTTGGCTCACGGGCCCTGGTTCAGTCCCCACTCTTGGAAACAAAAAGTCCAGACCGGGTTTTAGCAAAAGGTGAAAGGTACTCCTACAGGTGAAAGTCACCTATACAGCAGGATGGACCTGAACCCCATCTTACGCCATGAACCAGGAAACCCCAAGAGGTCAGGGATCTAAGATTCAATGCAAGAAAGTACTCGAGGAAAATAGTGAATTTCTCTATGGGCTGGGTGACTACAAGAGGCACAAATTATGCACCTGCTGAATATGGCAAACAGGAACGGGGTCCTAGGGTACTCGCCAGGTTTATAAGTTGCCTGGAGCATACAAATAGCAGGCGTTTAAACACCTGCTCTTTTTTTTTTTTTTTTTTTTTGTCTTTTTTGTTTTTATCGGTACTGGGGATTGAACTCACGACTGCCTGCTTGCAAGACAGGCGCTTATGCTGCGGAGCTAAATCCCCAGCCCCAACACCTGCTCTTTACAGCATGCAAATAACTGATGCCTCAGGCATGCATCAGGTGTTTATCCAGCACCTGCTGTGTGAGGCAAAATACATGGACACTGTGAAGAATCAGAGTGAAAAAACATAAAAATTGGGTGGAAGTGGGGCACATGCCTGTCACCCCAGCAATTTGGGGGGCAGGGAGGTATGAGGCAGGAGAATCACAAGTTGGAGGGCAGCCTGGGAACCTTAGCAAGACACTGTGTCCAAATAAAACAAAAAGGGCTTTTGATGTGGCTTGGTGTTCAGTGCCTAATATCCCCCCCCAAAAAAAAACTATAAAAACTATAAGCAAAGTCAAAAGACAAGTGGCTGCCAAAACAGAATCTGTGTCACAAAGGGTCGGTGTCCTCCATATACAAAGGGCTTCTAAAAACAGAAAAGCCGGACTCGGGTGTGATGACTCACACCAGTCATTCCCCGCCCGCTGGGAGGCTGAGGCAGGAGGATCACAAGTTCAACCCCAGCCTTGGCAACTGAGCAATTTAGTGAGACCCTGATGGGAATTAAAATAGTAAAAAGGGCTGGGGATTCAGCTCAGTGCAAACACCCCGGTTCCAACAGTAATACGAAAAGGAAAAAAAAAAAAAAAAAGACCAAAAACTGTAGAGAAAAAAAGTTTGCAGAAAGCAAAATGCAAATGAGGTGAAGCCTGATCACATAAAGCACCGAGCCTGGCCCACGGGAGCAGCCCCCAGCAAGTGACACTGTTCCTGGGGTCCCCAGTGTCCCTGCAAGGGTGGCCAGCAGAGTCGGGATGAAACCCAGGGTCTTCACCCCCAGCTACACGCTCAGCCTTTATAATTTCATGTTCTCAGACAGAGACCCGCCCACCCACCCAGGGCTGGAACCAGTGACCCCCCTGCTTCAGCCTCCCAGCGGGGTTACAAGCGTGTGAGTAGCTGGACTGAACGCACGTTGGGATCCACACCAAGGAATGAGTGGGAGAGGCCTCCCGGCGTGGAAACTTTGCAGCCGGGGGAACCACAGAGGCAGCACGCCGGGGCCTCTGCCTGGGACTGCAGTCAATTCCTGGGCCCCAGCGGGCCTGGCACTCCTCACCTCCCGCAGTGGCCCATTCAGCTCGCCCAGAATACTGTCTTCATCGAACATCTTGCCCTGGTAGCGGTGTTCGTAGTAGTCATGGATCTTCTGGCGGAAGTCGGCGGGCAGCTTGTGGAAGGACATGTACTGCTCCACTTGCTTGTACTGTGTATCAGGGAAGAAGGGAGGGACAGGGTCAAGGCCACCGCTCTGGAGGGGCAGTGCCATGGTGGGCTCACCATGTTCCCGTCCTGGGGTTCGAACTCTCCACCTCCCATGTGCCAGGCGGGCACTGTGCCACTGAGCTGTATCCCCAGTGATTTCTTACTATTCCGAATGGCCAGTGGTGAGTAATTGTTTAAATAGGAACTACTGTCAGGCATGGTGGCCCATGCCTATCATCCCAGCACTCGGGAGGCTGAGGCAGGAAGCTCGCTGGGAGTTCCAGGCCAGCCTGGGCTACACAGTGAGCTCAAGGCCGGCCTGGACTGCACAGCGAGACCCTGTCTCAAAACAAACAGACAAAAAGGCACAGGTTGGCTTCAATTTCACAGCAGTCCTACCTCACCCTACCAAGTGCTGGGGTTACAGGTGTGCGCCAGCTCACTTGGCTAAAAACTTTTGAGGGGATTCTGGGCAGTAAACCCTGGGTCTTTGCAGTGAGCTACATCCCCAACTCTTTATTTTATTTTTTTTCTTTTCTGAGACAAGGTCTTTCTATTTTGTTTTTTTTCTTTTTCTTTTTTGGTACCCGGAATGAACTCAGGGCCTGCACTTGCCAGGCAGGGGCTGTGCTGCTGAGCTCTGTCCCCAGCCCACACTGACTGTTTATGTGAAATTTAAGTTTGACCTGTCATCCCAACACTGCAAGGCTGAGGCAGGAGGATGCAAAGTTCAAACCCAGCCTGCATAACTCAATGGCTGACTAAGACCGTTTCAAAATGAGAAATAAAAGGGGCAGAGAGGTGATGGGGCTCCTTGTGAAGGTCCTGGGTTCTACAGCCAGAACTGGAAGAAAAACTAACAAAAATGACACTGAGCTAAAGCGTGCTGGATCCGGTGCGGCTCCCTCCCCAAACCTTCCAAACAGGCTGGGGTTGGGTGCCAGGCCCTGCCATCTCGAAGACAGCGGCCCCGGTGCCCCAGCCCCACTTCCGGCTGGCCCCGCCCGGCCACAGCTGCCCTGAGCTCAGCTGAACCCGTGACGGCGGGCGGGTGGCGGCACCAGCTCATGTTTGGGTGCGAGGCCGGCAGCTTCCGGCCAGCGGGGCGCCTGGCACGGGGCCCAGCTCACCCGGCCTCCCCGGCTGGCACTGCTGGGAGGAACTGTGGCTCTCAGCCGGCGCTGGGCCCTGGGGTGTTGGGACAGACAGGGTGGCACTAGGAGGGCCCATTGGGCCCTCGGCCTTGAGGGGAAACCGAGGCACGCAGGGAACAAGGGCTGTGCCAAGCACCCAGGCCCAGCTCTGCAGGTTTCCTCCGGGGGTGGCCCTGCCGACCCCTCCTCACCTTGGCCACTGGGCCCTGCTCACCTTTTCCTGATACTGGCGCCGGGAGGAGTCCAGCGACTGGATGAGGGCGGTGGCGTGGCCGATGAACATAGCGTAGCAGGTGGCACCCACGATCATGCTGAGCATGGTAAGCCAGATGTCAGTCATGCTCTCGGGCGCCTGCCGCCCATACCCGATGCACAGCATGTGGCTCATGGCCTTGAAGAGCGCGAAGGAGTAGAGCTCGCTCCACGAGTGGTTCTGCAAGCGGGGGAGGGGCGGTTGGGGAGGGGTCCTTTCCCTCCCCCACCCCGGGTCAGAGGTGACCCTGAGGACACATGGCCATGTCTGCCTCCCGGGGTAACCAAACTGGACTCAGAGGCAGAAGCTGGGGGTGCTGCGGTGCTGGGGAGGGCAGAGGTCCCGCGCCCTGGCCGTCCTCGGCTGACCCGGCTGGGGAGGGGGGCAGGGGACATCCAGGAAACCAAACTGCTTGTGCAGGCGGCTGCGGGACAATGGGCTCCTCAGACCGGACAGCTGCGCCAGGCGCCGGGGAGGGGCTGCCGACACCAGCCCCGCAGGCCAGCTCTGCACCCCCCCCACGCATGCGCCAGGCCCCGCGTGTGCCTCCCGCTGTGAGGCAGGAGAAGGCTGGCTCCAGGGAGCGTCCCCTGTTGGCTCTCTTCTTTGTCTTTTGTACTTTGTTTTTTTTTTTTTTTTTTTTTTATCGGTTTATCGGTACCGGAGATCGAACTCAGGTCCCGATGCTTGCCAGGCAGGTGCTTATGCCGCTGAGCTAAATCCCCAGCCCCTGTTTGCTTGTCTTTTCGGTCAGGGTCTGAGTATGTAGGTCAGGTCAGCCTCGAACTCTCCGCAATCTTCCTGCCTCAGCCTCCAGAGTGCTGGGGTGACAGGTGTACAGCAGTGCCACACCGGGGCTCCTCCTGGTGTTCTCTTTAACAGTCACGATCACGCCAGCAAATAGCAAGCACTTATGGCCCACGAGGCCACTCTCCCAATGGAGGGCTGAGATGGACATTTTTCTTTTCAATAAATGTGTATAAACTGGGTCCAGTGGCGTAGGCCTGTAATCCCAGCACTCGGGAGGCTGAGGCAGAAGGATCGTTGCAAGTTCAACACCAGCCTGAACTACATAGTGAGACCCTGTCTCAAAAAGACAAAACAAAAACAAAAACAAAAATGGGGCTGGGAAGGGGCTGGGGATTTAGTTCAGCGGCATAAGCGCCTGCCTTGCAAGCAGGCAGTCGTGAGTTCGATCCCTGGTACCGATAAAAACGAAAAAGGCCAAAAGAAAAAAAAAAAAAAAATGGGGCTGGGAATGTAACTAAGTGTGACAGCTGGCTCCTGGTTTCTTGTTTTGTGGAGACAGAAAGGAGAGAATACTTTGGAAACGACCCTGAGCAGATCTTGAGGCGACAGGGATCCCTACAGTGGCCCGGAACATCTGCAGCTGAGCTGCCCAAGGAGGAGTGGGGAGCAGCAGGCAGGGCTGCGCAGGCGCAGTAGATGCACGGCGCGGGCTGGGGCTCACCACCATGTTGTTGATGGAGACCCAGCAGTTACTGGGGAAGTCCTGCAGCATGGGCACCAGGAACTGCAGGCAGCCGTCCCAGTGGCACAGCAGCAGCATCATGCTGATAAGGTTGCAGATGCGCATGACCGCGCTCGCCAGGTCATAGGTCATGTGGAAGATCTGGGGACGAGGGGAGTAAAGATCCTGGTGAGGGCAGTAGACCCCCGGGCACCACTGTGCCCCGTGGCCTTGAGCGCCTATAGCCAGCTGCAGCCTCCCAACCCCTGTCCCAGGGCCTCCAGATCGCTCCACAAGACCCTGCCCTATCCTGTTGTCTCTTCAACCTGAGTTTCCCCAGTGGCCACAGCCCTAGCAAGTGAGGCAGGAAGTCCGGGCTTGGAGGGCTGTAGCTGGCTGTGTCTCTGAGTCTGTTTCCCCTGGCATTCTAATGTGGATCCCTCTTCCTACAGGGCTGAAGGGAAGCCCCAAGTGGCAGCTTCCCAAGCCCAGGTTCTGCTCCTAGGGGTTCCTCCCATCTCCTCTTCAGGTTCCATCCAGGCCCCTCCCCTGGTTCCCCTGAATCCCCAAATCACCCCATCAGCTTCTGGATAATGCATCTCCAGCTCTCCTTAACCAACGGCCTCCCCTCCATGTGAGCTTAGCCCATCTTCTCCCTGTGGGCCAGTGTATGGACTTGGTGCTTCTGCTTCCGGTCTTGGGCCTACCTTGCTGCCCTGGTGTCCAGTGGACCAGCAGCCCTCAATGGCCCCGCCCCATACTTGAGCCTCTGCCCCTGCAACCCCGCCCACAGTGTAAGGCTCCACTCATGTCCTGCCCACTCAGCCTGAGGCCCCACCCTACACGAGTCCCCGCCCAATCACTTGGCCCCACCCTATTCTCACGTCCCACCCAGTCTTGACTCCACCCACACCGAGGCCCCGCCCCTACCTCCTCCCATTGGTGGATGTAGCGGATAAGGCGGGACAGGCGCAGCAGCCTCAGCAGGCTGAGGATCTTGGTGAAGCGCACGATCCGCAGGGCGCGTGCGGTCTTGTAGACCTCGGAGTCGATGCCCTTCTCCACGATGAGGAAAATGTAGTCCACCGGGATGGAGGACACGAAGTCCACCACAAACCAGCTGCGCAGGTACTTCTTCTTGATCTTCTCGGGGTCCAGGATGATCTCCGTGTTGTCCTCGATCACGATGCCCGTGCGGAAGTTGAGCACCAGGTCCATGAGGAAGAAGGTGTCGGAGACCACGTTGAACACGATCCAGGGTGCCGTAGTCTCATCCTTGAAGAAGGTGATGCCCACGGGGATGATGATGAGGTTGCCCACCATGAACAGCAGCATGGTGAAGTCCCAGTAGAACCTGCGGAGGGCGGGGCCGCTCAGACGCCTCACTCCGTCCCAACCTCCCGGTGGGAAGTCCCCCCCAATGGCCAGCGCCCTCCCTCCGGGCCACTGAGGACCAGAAGGGGACAAAGGGACCGTGTGCTTGGGACGAGGACGGAGTTCGAAAAAGCATCGTGGGGCGTGGGAACACATCACCTGCCATCCCAGCACTGTGGGAGGCTGAGGCAGGAGGCTCTCAAATGCAAGCCCAGTCTGGCCAATTTAATAAGACCCTAACTCAAAATAAAAAAATAAATGAGGGAAGAGTGAGGTGGCCGGGGATATAGCTCAGCAGCACAGCGCCTGCCTGGCAAGCGTGAGGTGGTGAGTTCGATCCGCGGAACCAAATAAATAAATAAGTAAACAGGGGCTGCAGATGTAGCTCAGTGCTAAGGTTCTGGATTCCAGTAGTAAACAAACAAACCAACAACAACCACCCAAAAAATATATTAAGGCGAGGGAAATGCCCAGAAAGACAGGGCATCCCGCATACGCAGAAAGACAGAGGGCATTGTACATGAGCGGTAAGGCAGCGGGCAAGTTAAGCATAACCGCACACTTCTGAGGGGCCGGCGGTAAACAGGCCCACAGAACTCGGTGTACCCTGTCTGCAGCGGCGCAATTCACAGAACCCAGAAATGGAGACGGTCTGGGGGCTGGAGATTTAGCTCAGCGGCATAAGCGCCTGCCTTGCAAGCAGGCAGTCGTGAGTTCGATCCCCGGTACCGATAAAAATGAAAAAGACAAAAAAAAAAAAAAAAAAAAGAAAAAGAAAAAGAAATGGTCCAGCCAGGGGCCAGGGATGAACACACACAGTGAGGTCGGACCCTACATGGGAATATTACTGAGCCAGGAAAACAGGCCAGGAGGTGACTCGCCAGTGTGAATGGACCTTGAGGACACTGCGCTGTGAGAGACGCCAGACATAAAAGGACACCCAGTATGGGGTTCTGTGGACAGTAAGTGCCTGGGACAGGCAAATGCAGATACAGAAGTGGACTCCCGAATGGCTGGGGGCAGGGTGGGGTGACTGCTTATTGGGGTGGGGCTTCATTTTGGGGTTTGGGATGCTCTGGAGGTGGCTGGCGGTGATGACTGAATCACATTATGGCTGTTTTGTCTTTTTGAGATAGGGTCTCGCTATGTAGTCCAGGCTGGCCTTGAGCTCACTTTGTAGCTCAGGTTGGTCTCACACTTGCAACAGTCCTCCTGCATCAGGCTCCGGAGTAGTAACATTCTTGGTCTCAAGATATAAAAATGGAGCTCAGTGAGAAGGCCCTGGGTTCCATCCTCAGAACTGGAGAAAAGTCTCCGCTGCTGTCCTGTGGCGTTGTTTTCCTCCAGGAAGGCTGTGGAGGGCTGGGCCCCAAGAGAACGAGGCCCCCAGACCAGCTCGGGTGACTCCAAGCACAGGTGGCGCTAGTTTGTAGCCCCGGAGCTGACTCAGGAGTGCTCAGTGTGGATAAACTGGCTCCTTGCTCAGGCCGCTCCTGGAGGACACGGCTATTAACACTCCCGCCTGTGGGGCGGCCAGGCGGCCACTTCGGGGAATTGAGCTCAAGGAAATCGTCCAAAAGGAAGAGGAAAAAAAAATTAAAAAGTGATTTGTACCAAGATGTTCACGGCAGCTGGGTCTTTGAGAGCCAAGAGCTGGCCTCGACCCAAAACCTCAAGGATCACCACGAGCTGGTGCTGGGCTGGCACCCGCCCACCACGGGTGACCTTGGATGACGCCTGACCCCTCACCTCAGAACCCCAGTTCCCTCTCCTGTCCTTGGCCTTCCCCTGGCCAGTGTCCTGCAGAGGCAGCAGGGTTCACGTTCAATATCCACTGACTGCCCCGAAACCAGCAGGAAAGCATAACAGAGGCCAAGGGGCCTAGAAACCATGGCTGTGCTCCAGAAATGACCAGGGGGACTAAAAACCACCACGGGGGGCCTAGAAACAGTCTGAACACAGATAGAGATGAGCAGCTCCCTCTCCTCCCTCCAGGGGACCCTGGCTGAGGCCAACACAAACTCCCTTGTCTCTGAGTTGCCCACATTCTCAGCTCACATGGGGAAACTGAGGCTTGCCAGGGAAGTAAGCCATGGCACAGGATTCGAACTCAGGCTGGCAGCCTGTGGGCTGCTGCAGGGGCCGAGGGGGTCTCCCTCCTGCCTCCCACAAGGTTCATGTGACCCAGTGCATCACCAGGGGTGGGTGACAGGGAAACTGAGGTCCATCAGGGCTAAAGGGGTTGGGGTTGCAGAGAGAATCCCAGTGGAGTTGGATGTGCCCAGCCTGGGGGCCAGGATAGCTGGGAGCTGAGTCCAGGCTCCATTGTCAGGTGGGGTCAGGGCGCCCCTGCTGGGGGACCCAAATCGGGCAGGGATCACAGATCCAGCAAATCCCTGGCGGATTAGAGGCCAGAGGTCGGGGATTATGGGGGCTTGAGTGGGGATCAGAAGGCTGGAGCCAGGCTGTGATCATATCCTCGAGGGGTGTCGGGGATTAGGAAAGGGACACCTTTGTGGGGGGAGACTCCTGGGGGCTGCCAAAGCGGAGGGACATTTTGGGCCTGAGTGTGTGCCGGGGGCCAGGGCAGGCACTGATCTGCAGTGAGCAGAGGACATTGTGAACCATGGGCGAGGGGAGAGGGTGCTGGCTGAGCAGACAGAAACCTGCACTGGGGGACACTCGGGTACAGTGAGGGGACAGGAGCCTCGCCCAGGTGGTGGGAAGCACAGCTGCAAAGGCCCAGTCATCCCAGCACTTGGGAGGCTGAGGCAGGAGGGTCAACAAACATTCAGGCCACCCTGAAGTACATAGTGAAAAGCCCTGTCTCCCAAGAATAAACAAAGCCTGGGATGTGGCTCAGTGGCACACAGCTGGCAAGCACGATGGCGTAAATTTGATTCTGGGTACAAATAATAATAATGATAATAATAAGTAATTTTACAAAGGCTGTGAAGCCCTGCAGGGTTTGCCCTGAGGCCAGCCAGGAGCCAGGACCCCTGGGAGGCGGAGGGGATGATGCAGTTGGAGGGGCAGCCCCTGCTGTGGTCTCCCTTGGACTCTGCCACCTCTTCCTCCCCAGGGGGCAGAGCCAGACCCCATCCTCCCTCCCACCCACCTGCTGCACCCCATCCCCTCCGGCCTGCGGCCCCTCCCCCAGTGATGGGGTTTCTGCCCCAGCTGGAAGCATGGATCTGTCACTGGGGATTAGCACAGCCCAGACTCCCACTGATCTGATGCTCAGGCCAGCTGGGGGTGGGGACCAGGCATCCTGTCCTTATCAGGCTCCAGGACCCCAGGGACTGTGACCCACTCAGAGTCGGCACCAGCAGATCCCAGCTGGGTCTAAAGCAACTGGATGTAGCCATGTGTGGTGGCTCACACCTGTAGTCCCAGCACTCAGGAGGCTGAGGCAGGAAGATCGACATGAGTTCAAGGTCAGCTTGGGCTACACAGTGAGCTCAAGGCCACCTGAACTACATAGGGAGACCCTATCTCAATAAATAAATAAACAAGCAGGCAAACAAAAAGATGCTATGAGGGGGCTGGGGTTGTAGCTCAGTGGCACAGTGCCTGCCTGGCAGGTTCCAGGTTCTGAGTTTGACTCATGGTATCAAATAACAAAAAAAGAAAAGATGCTACAGGGAATTGCAGAAGTGAGATACCACCCACATGTTGCTGCCTCCACATTTGGGAAACTGAGGCAGTGAGGGGCCAGAGTGTTGCAGGAGAAAAGGACTGAATCTAGTTCAGAGCTGGCTCCCCCTCCTTACTGTCCTCCCTGCTCTGCTCACTGTGGGGCTTCCCAGGACACCCTCTGCACCTCACTCTCCTCCTGGGTAGAAAGCACCAGTCCAGGAGACCAATCATTACCAGTCCCTGAGCAGGGCGGGGGTGTGGCCAACAGGGACAGAGCCCCTGGGGACCCGGCTCAGAGTTAAGTCAGGGAGATGCTCTGGGCCCTGGGGGCCCATTTGCCGATCCACATGCAGATTTTAAGAATCAACATAGAAACTGGTGAAGACTGCCCTCCGAAACCTTAAAGCCTGGGAGACTGACGCAGGAAGATCTCAAGTTCAACCTGGGCCACTTGGTGATTTAGTGAGATTTTGTCTAAAAAAAAAACCCCAAAACAGTGGGGCAGGGCTGGGGTGCAGCTCAGAAGAACACACTGCCCACCAGCCCCAGGTCCTGTTTCCCAATGTCCTGGCTGAGACCCCTTCTCCTCCAGTAATGTCGAACCTCATTAAGTCCCGGTCACTAAAGTGACTTTCCTGGGTCTGTCTGTAGGCCACCTCCAAAGGGTCACAGGGCCCAGTCGGGGTGGCAAGGCCCGGTGCACCCCTTTAGCACCCTGCTCCCATACAGCCCATATGGGAGTCCCCACACTCACACCCCCATCCTAAAGTTTACCTGGGAGGCCCAAAGAGAGGGACTCCTGACCCCTGCCAGCCTCTGACCCTGCCCACCTGCACCCCAGCTGCAGGACCTAAGTCTCTCCAGCCAGACCCTCAACCCACCTAGCCCAGAAAAGGCCTCAAGCTTAACAGACACTGGTCAGCTGGTATCCTGTGCCCCCTATGTCCCCACGGCCTCTCTCTGGCCAGTTGGCACAGAAGCCCCACTCACAGCAATGTCAGCTGGGCCATGTGTCCAGGCTCTCAGGCTGGGAGGATCCAGGCATGGCCCCTCTGGGCCCCACCTGGGTCCCCTGATCTTTGATTTCTCTGAAGTAAGGCTGCTTTGGCTCAAGGCCTCAGTCCTGTCTCAGGGCTCTGAAGGTTGGGGAATTAGAAGAGGACTTTCCTCCTCCTCCTCCTCCTCCTCCTCCTCCTCCTCCTCCTCCTCTTTTTCCTCTTCTTCTGTCTTTTTTGGAGCCAGGGTCTCTCTATGCAGTCCAGGCTGGCCTTGAGCTCACTATGTAGCCCAGGCTGGTCTCAAACTCACAACGATCCTCCTGCCTCAGCCTCCTGAGTGCTGGATGACAGGCATGAGCCACCACCTGGTTCAGGACTTTCTTCTTGTCTCTGTTCTTGATTTGCATGCTTGTGAACCTCAGTTTGCCTATTTACCAAGCACTGAAAAGGGGGACTTGCACCGCCCCCTTCTCCCGGTCCTTCAGGTCTCCAGGTCTCGGAGCACACGGGGTCCCCAGTCCTGGGCCACAGGGACCCGGGCAGCCCGGCAGAGCTCAGGCCTTGGCGCTGACCATGGTACTGAAACAGCGCGACCGCGCGCCCGGTATTGTGGGGCTCCCTATCTACACCTTCATACCCCACTGTCGCACATCCGAGTGACCCACCAGGCACAAGCGCAGCAACACGCCTTCACCAGATCCCCGGGACCTGCGCCCCCTGTCACGCGCTCCGGTGCACACTCGCGCGGCCTGCAGTGACTCGCGCTGTCCACGCTCGCCGGCCACACCACGCGTACTCAGGGAGGAGCATGCAAAACACACCCGCGTGTTAGCCAGTAGGTTGTGTCAACACACGCACACACAGAGTCCCGTGACATTGGGGGTCACCATGCACGCAGAAGACCGCGGGGACGCGGCCTGGGGACCCAGGACGCGCCTGCCCGGGGCGCAGGTGGAGACCGTGGTAGCGCGCGGCACGCTTAACCCCTTCCCCACCGGCCTTTCCGGGCGCGTCCTTCTGGGGCGCCCGACCGCCCGCCCGCCCGCCCTCCCCGGCGCTCCGCCGCCGCCTCCCGCGCCCATGTTCCCCTCTATTCGTCCTCTCCGCCCACCGCCAGGGGACGCCAGGGGTCCCCGTGCAGCCTGGGCCTGAGCCCCCCAGGAGGGCGGCGCCCGAGGTCACCGAGCGGGCGCCCGAGGTCGCAGGCCGCGGCCCCGCCCTCTGGCCCGCGGGCGCCCCAAGGGCGGCACCTGAAGTCGCTGTAGGGGTGGATGATCCAGGCCCCCGCCGACTTCACGCGCTCCTGCTCGCGCTCCACCGCCTTCTGGCTGCCGAACATCCGCAGCGAGAACTTGTTGACGCCGGGCTGCAGGAGCGCGCCGAACTGGCGCTGCATGAAGCTGGCCTGGCTGCCGCGCGGCTCCCCGGCCGGGCCCGCCTCCTCCTCGGCCGGCGCCGCGGGGAACGACACCTGGGGGCCCCGCGCCGCGCCCTCGGGGCTGCACTGCGGCTCCCCGCGCCCGCACTCGCCATTCGGGCCGCCTTTGGCCGCGCCGGGGGCTCCGGGGGCGCCGGGGGTGCCGGGGGTGCCGGGCCGGCCGCTGGCGCTGTCGCGGCTGCGGAGCCGGCCGCGCGGGCCGCCCTCGTCCTTCGCCTCCTCGGCGCGCGGCGGGGCCGGGGGCGGCGCGGGGCCCGGGCCCGGGGGCGGCGGGGGCGCGGGCGGGGGCTGCGGCTGCGGCTGAGGAGTCGCGGGCGGCGGCGGCGGTGGCCCGGGCGCGGGGGTCGCGGCCGGGTTCTCCCCGGGCCGCCCGCCGCCCCCGCGCGCGTCCATGGCGAGGCGGCGCCGGGCAGTGCGGAGCGGAGCCGCGGCCACGGCCGGCGGCCCGAGCCCGAGGGAGGGGGAGGCGGGGGCGGGGCGGGGCGGGGCGGAGCCGCGCCGAGGGGGTGGAGCCTCGGCCGCGCGGGGGAGCGGCGGGGGCCCGGGCTCCGCCTCCGCCTCCGCCCGCGTCCCTCCCCGCTGCCCGGGGTCCCGCGCGCGCGCCCCTCGCCGGCCGCACAGGGGTAACTGAGGTTCACCTGGAGGTCAAGGTCAGGCTGGCCAATGCCTTGTGGGCGCGCGCGGGCCTCGGCCTGGAAGGGAAACTGAGGCTCAGCAGGTGGGAAGGACGCGCCCAAGGTCACGCAGCTGGGCCTTCAGCGCGGGGCCTCTGCGAGCAGGTCCTCGGGCTCGGCGGGGCTGCGGCCCTCTAGCACAGCCTTTCCATGCCCGGTGCTGGGCTCTGCACTAAAAGGGCGCCCTGTGAGGCCCTGGAAGCTCTGGCTTCGGCGCTGTCCCGCCCACCCGGCGACCTGTAGGACAGTGCATGTTAGGAAACTGAGTCACAGCCCTGCCGCCAGGGCTCGGCAGGAAGGGGCGCCCCTTGGCGGGTGCCCTGTGAGTTCGTGGGCTTCAGAGACTCCGGGGGAGCCTAGGGCCCCGGGTTTCTCGGCCCCCTCAACTGGGTTCCAGCGAGCCCGGCCTGGCATGGAACTCCGGGCAGACGGGGGTCTCCCTGGCGCCCTGGCTGCCGAGAGCAGGGGCAGACCAGGCTGGGCGCGGGTTGGTGCCCTGCGCCCCAGCCAGTTCCACTGGAGGAGGATGGTGTCATGAGAGAGGCAGGTGAGGAGCAGAGGCACAAAGAGGGTTTCTGGAGATGGAGCCCCCCACTTGGGCCCCTTCCGTGCACTTCTGGACCCTTTAGGAAACCTCTGTGTTCTCCTGAACTACGCTCCAGGATCCCCTGCCATTCCTTGGTCCTGAGACCCTCCTGCGCCCCTGGATCCACCGGTCTGCCATCACCCAGGCAATGATCAGGCCTTCTTGGGTGCCCAACACCCACCCAGACAGCAGGGCCAGCTGGACGGAGACATGAACATCCTCGCACCCTGCAGGTGCCCTGCTGTGTGTCATCTGACAGGATGGGCATGGCCCAGTGGCCTAGCCATGCCAGGGCTCCCCTAACTCTGGGGACTCCAAGACCCCCTGCTGGCCTGGTGGCCACCTCCTCCGAGGCAGGCAGTCAGCAGAGTCAGCAGTGCCAGGCTGCAGCCCGCCCCGGGGCAGATGTGTGTTACAGCTGAAGGGGGACCTTTTATGTTCACCCTGGGAAGATGTCAGGCTGGGCAGGTCGCCAGCACTCAGGGAGGAGGCAGGCCCGGCCACCAGGGGACCCACCAGGCCTGGCAGAGAGATGGCACCTCTCACAACCCCCTGGTCACAAAGGATGCTGGGACTTGGGGTCCTGGGCACTGGTGTCTAGTCCGGCCCAGGGCATGGTGGGTGAGCTAGGGACTGACTGGGGCTCCACACCTGTTGAGCACCCGCGTGGTCAGAGGGCACTGCATCTGTCCTATCTGTCTGTCTATCTATCTATCTATCTATCTATCTATCTATCTATCTACCTATCTATCTATTTGAGACAGGGTCTCACTCTGCAGTTCAGGCTGGCCCTGAACATGCAGAAATAAATCCTTCTGCCTCAACCTCCCAAGTATGCACAGCAATAGGGGTGAGCCACTAAGGCCCAGTTTATCCATTTATTTGAAGGGTTCTCAGTAAGCCCCTGACCCAAGGGCCAGAGATTCAGAATGGGGCTGGGAGGGCTGGGGATTTAGCTCAGTGGCATAAGTACCTGTCTTGCAAGCAGGCAGTCGTGAATTCAATCCCTGGTACTGATAAAAAGGAAAAAGACAAAAAAAAAAAAAAAAAAAAAAAAGAATGGGGCTGGGGTCAGGCAGAGGAGACTAATAATAAATACAGTGAATGTCACATTTCGTAAATCACTCTGTCTGCTGGGAGCTGGGAAGTGCCCTGTAGAAACTCCTGGCAGGTGGCAGGGTTGTGGCAGGCCCAAGGTCCAGGGCTGTGCAAAGACCCTGAGGCTCCATCATTAACAGCTTCCTCAAGCTCTGGGGCCCAGGGGTGGGGGGACTCGGGACTGGAATCTTCAAGTGCTGACTCCATGGCCGTGGGAGAGCTCAGCATCTGGGGCAACTCCGGCCGTGGTGTGCCCCATCCCAGGTCTTGGGATCGCAGGACTGATGCCCCAGGATACGGGGGAGGGAAAACTGATACAGTGCAGCTCGCTCATCTCTGAGCCTCACACACGCATGGTCACCCGCGTAGGCCACTGCCTGCGTGGCAGGTGACAGCGGCTGCTGGCGTGTCCCCCCAACCTGCACAGTGGGGGTTGGTAGGCTCTGCCAGGACCCAGCTGGGTGGGCAAGGCCGCAATTGCCTGGGGACCCCTGCCTGTGTCCCTGTGGCCATGGGAGCCCCTCAACTCCTTAGTGGGGCCTCGGTAGGTCACTCACACACACTCCCACCCTAGGAGGGGAAGGACAGGGTGGGGGCCGAAGCGGAAGCCAGGAGCCAGCTGCCAGGCCATGTGTCGAAGCCATGAATGGACCCTTGTTCCCTGGGAAGCGTCCCTAGCCTGCTTGCACCCACAGGGCACTGGGACTCCTGAACCCCAAGGTTTCCACAGCCCTCTGACGGCCCTCAAACATCACTGGGTCCTGGAGACCACCTCATCTGAGGAAACTGAGGCAGAGCTCAGCCGGAGGGCTGCGCGCTGCAGGTGCTCACTGCACAGTGTACGGATGCTGGGTGCTGGGGGGCGCGCCAAGCAAGGGGGGGTGCTGTGCTCATTGTGTTGTGCCCCTGTGCCAAGGGCTAGGGAGTCCCCTTGCGCCATCAGAATGGGCGATCTGGCCCCCCCCAAGGCTCCCTACTCAGGTGTTCCTGCACTTTCGGGGTCAGGGTGGCTGGGATGACTCCAGGCAGGAGGGGGGGTTCCCCAGTCTGCCCCACACCCGTAATGATGCAAAAGTCACTGAGATGCTGACGTGTGTGATGCCCTCTAGGCCACAGGCAGGTGGGTGGGGCACGGTGTGTTCAGCTGCAGAGCACAAGGGACAGGCGGGTGTGGCCCCAGCCCCGGGCCAGGCCTCGTGGAGCCACAGCTTTGCAAACTCCGGGCGTGCACAGCGCCCTCTAGCAGCGCTCTCGGGTAGCACAAGGCCCCGCCGGGCTGTTTCAGGGGAGACCGGGCGGTGGCCTAGGCCAGGTGTGGCTTCTTCAGAGTAAAAATGCCGCATTTTCCCACTCACTGAAAAATTCAAACTTCTGGCCCGCACGGGGAGGAACACACCCATAACTCCAGTCCCCAGAGGCTGGGACAGAAGGGTCACAAGTTTAAACTCAACTGTGGAAACTCAGCAAGACCAATGTCTTGAGGCCAGATGTCCTGACCCTCAGCTATGATCTCAGTGCCTGGGAGGCTGAGGCAGGAAGACTGCTGTGAGGTTGAGGTCAGTTTGCTGTGCACAGCTCAGAAACCCAGGAAGGGCTCTGGGTGTAGCTCAGTGCCGAGGCCCTGGGTTGATCCCAGTATTGGGGGACAGTGTGGAATTCCTATGTGACCCTTTCTTCCTGAACTGTTAGCTGGGTAAGTGGTACCCAGGGCTCCCCCTCCTAGTCCCCACAACGCACCAAGACCCTGTGCTGGGACAGCTGGAGGTCAGCACTGTCCACTGTCTAGGATGGAACCCTGTCTGAGCCTTCTGAGGCCCAGGGCTGTCCAGTCCCCAGGCCCTGGCTCCACAGTGACCTCCAACTCTGGGACCCGTTCTAGGCCCAGAGCGGGGTGGGGTAGGGGTGGGCAAGGTGCCTCTTGGGCCCAGGGCTCCCCACGCCCCCCGGACACTGGGCTCTGGTTCCCAGGCCCAGTGCTTTCCTTTTGAGGGACCTGAAAGGCAACTGTCACCCAGCCAGATCCAGCCGGACCCTGCAACACAGCTGGGCCTCTGCCCGCTCCTCCCAGACCCAGGTCCCTGGACCCCATGGACAGCAGGGGAGCCCAGTCTGATCAAAGCAGGCTGAGGCGAGCCCCGAGAACATCTGACCTGGCTCTGATGGTGCCAGGCCTGTCCAGCCCGCTCCCTCCCTGGTAACCGGAGCCAGCCCGCTGCAGACACAGCCCAGGGTGGACAGCACGCTGGGGGGACTGTTTTTATTATGAGGGGAGAGGGAGGTGTCCCTCCATTCCAGGAACGGCAGGCAGCTCTGGGGTCCAACACCCTGGACCCCAGACATCAGTAGGCGGTTGGGGCCCTCTCAGTGGGCCTGTGGCCCCCAGGAGAGAACAGGGAACACACTGGGGAGGGGACAGGCTGGCTTCCGATAGGCAGGTGGCTCATCCAGGGCCCTGGGGCCATGCCGACTCCCAGGCACTCGTGTGGGCTTCAAAAGGGGGAAAACAAGAGCTAAGGACAGGATTCTACATGTAGAAAACCCTAGTTTTAGTGCAGACTAAAAAACCAGACCCGGACATCTACAGTGCTCTGAGGCCGCTGCGTAGGTCCTCCCAGGGCATGGGGCCAGGCCCCCGGGCGGTGGCGCTGTCAGGTTGCATTCCTCTGGCGCACATTCTTGTCTTTGTCGTTCACAAGGGGTGTGCTGCCCTTCCTGCAGGCACAGGTCGGGTGTCAGCACTGGCATGACCACAGGGCCCAGACCCAGGCCCCTCCCATCCCCACCAGGCCCAGACTTACAGAGGTGCGGATCCCGCGTCGTCTGCAGTGGGGGGAAGAGAGGAGGAATCAGCCGTGCAGGGGAGCCCCCCAGCATACCCTCTGCCGCCTGGGGTGCGGCCCACCCCGGCCACCCTCACCGCACCAGCCCCCCGCCCCTCACCGTCTAGGGGCTCATCCGGCTTCCGCCGCTTCTCATAGATGAAGATGATGGTGACCAGCACCAGCACCTCGGCCACGATACCCAGGAAGGGCCAGAGTGCAGCCAGGTGGCTGCGCACGCGCAGGGTGATGGTGGCATGGCCGGTGCCCTCCGTGTTGGTGCCGTTGCAGGCATAGGTACCAGGGTCCGAGGCCATGTCCAGGTCCTGGATGCGAAGCTGTGTCTGGGTCTCCGAGGAGCTCACGAAGAACTTGTTGTTGGAGCCGTTGGTGATGACCTGCCAGGGACCTGGTCATCAGCAGGGAGTGGGGGGCTGTCCCCTGTCCCCTGGTGTGTCCCTGCCGTCTCACCTGGACCTCGGAGTCCACCACCTTATACCAGACCCAGGTGTCGATGGGGGGGTGGGAGTCAGACTTGCAGACCAGAGTCACCGTCTCCTTCTCGCTGGCGTGCTCCGACTTCTTGACAGCCTTGACCACGGGGGGGCCTGGGGACAGAGTGAGAGGACCTCACATCCCACACAATTCCTGCCCCAACATGAGGAGGGGCTTGGTTCCCTGCTCACCCCCACCTGGGCCCTGGCCACAGCACTCACCGCTCACCAGGAGCTCGGCCTCACCCAGCGTGGAGGGCAGGAAGACGCAAGAGTATCTGCCTGTGCCGTTGGCTCTGTCCACCCTGCAATGGGGTGGGGCTGTGAGCCCAGAAGCCCCGGGTGTGGGGCGCACAGGGCCCATATCTCTGCATGCAGTGGCGGCAGCTGGAGGGGCCCTGTCCTGGAGAGCCGGCCCCTCCTCCTGCTCCTCTTGGATGGGATGGCCGACCCCCGCCCCCCCTGCTGCCCACTCACTGGTACTCGGTGCGCAGGTCAGGCAGCTGGTCCTCCTTCAGCACCTTGCCCTCCCTTAGCCACTGGTGCCCCGTAACAGCGACATCACTGTGGTTCAGGACGCAGGCCATGTGCACCCGCGAGCCCACGCTGTCCATGGTGGTCACCACAGTGCCCGCTAGGAATCCCGACATGAAGAGATCAGCACAGGGGGACCAAGGACACCTCAGCTGCAGACACTCAGGTCTGAAGTGGGGCAGAGGCCTCTCCCTGAGGATGCTGGGGATGCCCAAAACCCTCTGTGGGCAGAGGCCCGGCCTGTGGGTGGGCCCAAGGCCTTTCCAGGAGAGCCGGGTGGAGCAGGCCTGGTGCTCAGCTGCCCACACCCTTGGGCGCCCAGGCCTGGATGTGTGCGCTGGAGGCCACAGAAACCTAGGAGGCCCAGGAGCAGCTCTGACCCTGAGACTCCTGCCCCACTGGACACATGCAGGATAGACGGGTCAGCAACATGGACGCAGGGGTGGACAGACGGAGCACGACATGTGGACGGATGTGCTTAGGGGGAGGTGGGGCCTGGCTCCCAGCCAGGCTGTGCTCCTGCCTGGGGCGCTGACTCCTCCTCGGGGTGGTCCGCTGGGCTGGACAAGAGGCTGGGCCTTGACATCTGGGTTCTACCAAGCAGGAGCCAGGGCTGGGCAGCATGAGAGGGAAACTGAGGCAGGTGACCTGGCCACTCACGTTCGAGGACCACCACGCTCGCCTGGGCATGGATCCATCTGACCCTGGGCGCCCGGGTCAGGTGGTTACGGTCGGGGTCGTTGCTGGCACGGCACTCGTAGGTGCCCGCGTCCTCGGCACGGAGCCCCTCGATGGACATGGCGCTGGCTGCGTGCTGGCCGTAGGTGGCGTGGATGTGGACACGGTCCTGCCGGGCGCCGTCCCAGAGCTGGGAGCTGGGGTCGCCAGGCTGGTTCCCTTCAAACCACCACTGGATCTCGGGCACAGGGATGCCAACCGCCTCACAGTGCAGCTGGATTCTGCCCCCCGCCCGCCCCTCCTGTGACAGGGGGGCAGTGAGGAAGCCAGCTATGGGAGAGGGTGGGGTGGTCATGCCCGGACAAGGCCTGGGGCAATTCCAGGAGACAGGTGACTGCCAAGCACAGGCCAGCCAAGGAGGGGTGGGGTCCCCACCTAGGACCTCCTCAGTCCTCGCTGGTGACATGGACGGTGGACAATGCCGAGGGTCCAGCCCGTCAGGCCCTCCCTGTTCCCCATCCCGGCTGGGAGCCCAGTGCCAGCCTGCACATGAACTGTGACTCATACCCAAGCCCTTCCCTGGCTGATGGTCTCTCTGTTCCCCGAGGCCAGGCTGGGAGAGCGGCAGGGCAAACCTCTACCTCCAGAGAGGCAGGAGATCTCCAGCCCCCGCTGGCTCCATCTCAGCTAGAGACACAGACACAGACACACAGACACACACTCACTCACACAGCCCCGCGTGCACACAGCCTAGGGCCCGATGCCCGACTACCTGAGCGGCCCACGGCACCCAGGACGGGGCCAGGACAGGGCCAGGACACCTGGCAGCCACTTAGGTGCTGCCTTTTGACAAGGGATTGCCTGGGGCCTGCATTTCCTGGGAGTGGCCTCACTGACTGCACTAGGTGACCGCAGCTTGAGGGGAGCAGTGCGTCAGGGCAGGCAGTTTGGGTCACTTCATGGGGCACCTTCGCAGGTCCTATTCTAGCTGCTCCCCGCTCCAAGTAGCCTCAGACACAGCTGCAGGCCTTCCACCAGGTGCTGCCTGCCGGGTGGCACTGGCATTTCACTGCGCTGTCAGCAAAGCTACCCGGAGGAGCTCCAGGACCAGGGGAGCGGCTGAGCCATGGCCACCTTGAAGAAGTCCAGACTGTGCCCTGGCCACATGATCACAGCCCACACCCTCCAAAAGTCACCTTCATCTAAAAACAGCCCTCCTCCTGACCACTCAGGGCACTGGGCCAGCTGGCTTCGGGGTCACAAGCCTGCAGGGCCTGTGCAGGCCGGGAGACGCCTTCCTGAGGGTGCGGCCTGGGCCTCCCCCCGCCCCCCCCAGAAGTAAGAAGGCCTTCTGGGACACCAGCCAAGTGCAGCCACCCTCCCACCCAGGCGCAGCCCATACCTTGATCTCATCTGAGCCCCTGAGCTAAGTGGGGAGCCTACCCTGAGCAAAGCGGTGCCCTCATCCTGGGTTACCGACTTGGGGGACCCTGCCCTGGCAGAATCCTCTGGGGGACTCCAGGACAAGTGGCCTGGAGGGAAAGGGATAGATCACTCTTTGCCCAGAGGGCCTGGGGCACTTTGGGGCCTGGGTGAAGCCCAGGTTCCAAGCCCAGTACCCAGCATGTGCATGTGTGTGCGCGCACACACACTTGTATGAATACAAGCAACCAGACCCTCGGGTAGTTGACTTTCTCCAAGAGTAGGCCCTAAAGTGACAAGAGGCATAAATACCCCAGATCAACTGGGCCTCTCAGCCACACGGACTTTGCTGGGGTAGGGCAGGTTGCAATTCCTCTGCCCTCAGTAACCCAGAGCAACCTGGGGCTGCCAGCGCCCTCCCCATTGGGAAGCAGCACATTAGCTTCCACATTGGCCTTGCTCGGGGCTCCTAGATGTGATCCCAGAAACTGCCGCCTGCTAGATCCAGGGCCTTTTGGGGAACAGCTTGATAGGGCCACCTGCATTTCCAGGGCTGGGAAAAGTAGAAGTGGGTCAGAATGGCACTCTTCCAGGGCCTGCTGACCATGCTTCAGTCCGGCCATGGGGTAACCCCCAGCAGAGCCTTAGACCCTCTGCCCTTTGTCCCCTGGGTCACTATAAATTTTTAACCCAGAACCCAAAGTGATTTTTGATAAAGGAACTGAAATTCCCCACCAAGCACAACAGTACGATCTAGGGAACCCCCACCGTGGCCCTGTGTGACTTAGGGAACCCCCACCACGGCCCTGTGTGACCTTGAACACCCCACTCCCCTTTAGGCCTCAGTTTCCTCATCTGTAAAGGAAGCAGGTGGCCACAAAGCTATCTCATACCTTTTCCTCTTAACAGACAAAATCAGAGGGCCCCTGGCAGGTGGGCTGGGGAGCCCCTGAGGCTGTGTGCAGAACAAAGCTCACCCAGAAGGAGTTAAATCCCACCGAGAATGATAATCCCCCAGGCCAGCTTCTGAACACAATAGCCATTGTCCAGAGGACAGAGCCTGGGGCTAGGGGCAGTCACATGGGGGACAAGCCTGTCCCTCACCTGGCACTGCCTAGGTCTTCCTCAAGTCCTTCCCAGGCCCTGCAGGTTCCAGCTGTGGGTGCCAGGCTGAGCAGGCCCAAGACCAGCCCAATGCCTGGCTCCAACCCAAGAGTCCTGTAAGCCCCGTGGCTTGGGCCTCCCTTCTCCTGGCCAGTGGCGCCAGAGACTGGATCATTAATGCCCCCAACACCTTCACGCAGGGGTCAGGCCAGGCCTTTGATCAGGGACCTCCCTTCCCCAGCTCAAAGAAAATCAAGATCAACCTCCCAGCTGGGTGAGGAGATGCATTCCTGTAATCCCATCACTTCGAGGCTGAGGCAGGAGGATCCCTGCGAGTTTGAGACCAGCCTGGGCTACAAAGTGAGCTCAAGGCCAGCCTGGATTACACAGTGAGACCCTGTCTCAAAAAGACAGAAACAATTTCTACTTTCTACTGTGTATGAAAAAAAAAAAAAGGAACAAAAAACAAACCTCTCATACACCCACACATACTGGCAGAAACATCTAGGGATGTCTGGGGACAGCCTTGCTGGGACTCCCTCCAACCTGTGCACACCACCCCCAAGCACTGCCACCCCAGGACCTCCCCAGGGTGTCTCCCTCCGGGTGCAGCCAAGACTGGGAGTTTCGCACCCTGATTGCTCTCGAGTGGGAACCCCAAGGCCATGACTCGGCATCACCCCGCCTCGCTTCCCTTCGCAGACCCCCGGGGCCGCTGGCGCCCCTCTGCCTGCAGGCTCAGCTTGGGATTCACCAAACCGCAGGACGTTCCGGTACTGGTGACTCCTTGGGGTAAACTTCCACCCTCACCCTTCCCCGCTCCGGCCGATGGGGTGAGGACCCAGACCGCTGCCCAGTCCACTCCTGTGGCCTCAGGGCGCCATCATCTCCAGAGACACCGTGGACCCTCTGGGTGTTACGGTTCTCTCGGTTCCCGCAGGGTGTTCTCCCACCCAGTCTGCCAGGGTGGGGACCCTCGCAGCGCCGAAGCTCCACACCCCGACCCTCCAGGATCTCCAAGCCTCAGAGACGTCGTCCCCAGGCACCCTCGCGCCCCCACAGCGGCCACGATTGCCCTCCTGGAGGGGCCTCGCCCACCCCGGGACTCCTCTTGCACTTCCGTCACCGCCCGCATCACCCCCCCGCCACCCCCGCCTGACTTCTCCTAGACCGACCAGCCCCGGGCCCCGCGACCTCGGCCCGCTCCTTACCGGCCGCAGAGGTGGCCTGGGCGTCCAGCAGCACGAGGCCCAGCGCCAACAGCAGCGAGGCCGCCATACCGCCCGTCCGTCTCCGCGTTAGTCACCGCGCCCGTCGCTGCGGCGCTATAAGAAGGGCGAGCGGCGGCGGGGCGCGCGCACGCAGGTAGCTACGCGGGGCCGCACGCTCGGGTTGCGCGGAAGCCACGCCCTGCGCACGCGCACAGGAGCACGTGCGCTCAGGCCGGCCAGGCAGGCTGGAGCTACGGAAGCCGAGTGGGCAGCCGCCGCTGAACGTGACTCCTGGCCCCGCCTCTGGCCTGGAGTGGGGCTCGGGGTTGCTAGGAAACGAGGGTGGAGCCAGCGGAGGTGGGGTGGACCCAGGACAGATACTTCTGTCGTTATTTCTAAATTAAGCTATGAACTGGAGGCTTGAAAGTGGTGAAAACTGTGTGTTTTTGAACACGAAATTCAAATAAAGGTTCGGTAAATAATTTTTAAAGTTACATTTTATTTAATATTTTTTAGAGGGAAAATCCCGGCAGTGTGGAGGCTGAGGCAGGAGGATTGCTGTTGAGTTCCCTGATGATGTAGTGAGTTCAAGGCCAGCCTGGACTACATACTGAGATTTTGTCTCAAAAAAAAAAAAGAAAAAAATGCCCAGAGAGAGATTTTTTCCTCCTAAAACAGAAATACGTGGGTAGCCCTTAAATTTGGATATAAGATGAAAAACAAAGATATTTGTAGTGTAAGCGTCCTGTACAATATTTGGACATGATTTCACTTTGTTTTTTGGTACCAGGGATCAAACTCAGATCCTTGCACTTACCAGGCAGGCATTTATGTTGTGAGCTATATCCCTGGCCTTTTTTTTGTGTATGTGTGGACATAGTTATACAAAGAAAATATTTGCTATTTATCTGAAATTAAAATTTAACTGGTCAGTGGTTTTGTATTTTGTTTGGCAGCCAGACCTCAAGGCTTCTGTGTCACAAGACAGAGGTTTGAGAGAGACCACAGGTGAGCAGTCTGTTGCCTGGGGCCACAAAACTGACCCCCAAAAGCACAAGCAATGAAAGAAAAAATGGACTTCAGCAATATCAGAAATTTTTGGTCCTGGGGCTTGAACTCAGGGCTCCAGACCTATGACCTTTAAAACTTTTGTCCTGTGAGAACATCAGGAAAGTGAAAGACCATCTGTGGAGTCGGAGGAGGGGTGGAAAGATTTACAAATCCTGCATCTGATAAAAGACAGGCATGTATAAAGAACATAGCTGAGCGGTACACATATTTATAATCCTGGCATTCAGGAGGCTGAGGCAGGCGGATCACCCTGAGCTGGAGGCCAGCCTGGGCCATAGAGAGAGAGTGCCTGTCTCAGAAGATGAAAAACAACAAAACAAACCCTATCCCAAGGGCCTTTCAGATTACACTGGGGGCTGGAAGCTAAGCTACGTGCAGGACTGCAGGACAAGGGGCACCAGGGGGAGCCTGCTGGGGAGGCCAGCTGGCATCCAAGTGCTTTCAAGGTCACAAACAAAGTCCTGCTGAGCCGAATTCCTTCCCCCTGCCCATCCCTTCCCGGCCAAGCCCCGGCCTCTGGGAAGCTGTGGTGTTGCCAGGAGGTCTCAGCTTTGGTTTATGAGTGCAGCCGGGCCCCTTCGGAGACCCACATTTCTGTCCCCTTGGCTGAAGTCCCTCCTTGAGCCCCATGTGGTGTGTGTGGATTGGGGGTGGAAGGGGAGCTCCTCCACATCCCATGTGGCTTGGTTCTGGTCCACTGTGTTCTAGGACCTAGTACGGTCTGGTTTAGGAAATAAAAATACGGCCTGCCTGTCGTCCCACAATTTGGGAGGCTGAGGCAGGAGGATTGTAAGTTTGAGTTCAACCGAGTCAATTTAGCAAGCCCCAGGAAGTACCCAAGCAATGCAGGGTCGCTGCCTGATACAGATTGTGACAACATGGATATTGGGGCTTGGGAGAGGCAGGGGATCCCCCAGCTGGAGAGAGATGGTGGGTATGAAAGTGGTACCCACAAATACAGGGCCCCCAGAGCCTGGCATGTGGCTGTATCTGGAAAACAGGGTCTTTTCTGATTTACTATTGTGATTTTACTTTGGTACTTGGAATCAAACTCAGGACCTTGTGTTTACTTGTTAGACAAACATTGTACCACTGAGCTGAATCTCTGGCTCCTTCAGATCTCTAGATAAGATACTCCTGGAATCAGGGTGGGCCCTAAATTCAGTGGGGCCAGAAGAGCCAGGCATAGTGGTGGCCCCCTTGTCATTTAAGCTTTCCAGAGGCTGAGGCAGGAGGATCACGGTCAGTTCCAGACTAGACACAGTTGCCCCTAGATAGAATCCCAGTCACTTAGGAAGCTGAGGCAGGGGGATGTCCTATATAGGAGCACCTGGAAAGAACCTCTGTGGAGCCTTGGAGGGATGTGGCCCTGCAGAACCTAGGCCTGACTCTGCAGGTTGCACAGGGGGAGGGGGGCGCGGATGGGGTTCTGTCGCTGAGATAGGAGTCAGTGAGACAGGAGTTATGATTCTATTTCGCAGTGATGTGGGCCTCAGTGAAGTCTGCGGAGGAGTCACCACCTGAAGGAATCTTTCAAAAACATCTACCAGACAACCTGTGGCTATCAGGGGCCTCTCTGGAGCAAGAACAGGTAGGCCACAGGCCCGAGTGCATGGGCCCTGCACAGGCACTTCAGAAATACCGCATAGATTGGACCTTGTGTCGAGTATGGAGATGCACACCTGTAACCCAGCACTCGGGAGGCTGTGGCAGGAGGATGGCCGGGAGTTTTAGGCCAGCCTGGGCTACAAAGTAAGACCTTGTCTCAAAAAGCCAACAAATAAAAAACCCAAATGTGTGTAGTCTCCTTTGGCAGGCACAGAGCCCTCTCTGCCGGCGTGCAAGCCAAGCCTGTGAGTTGCTTTTTATATTTTGGTCTTTTTCTTTTTTATCGGTACCGGGGGTGAGTTGCTTTTTAAAAGTATTTATTTTTTTGTGCGTTGCTTTTTCTAAACTAAAAGCTCAGTATTCAGACTTGCTTGCTGCACTGTGATAACTGAAGGCTCAGGTTGGCCGTCACTGAGCTAGACAGCAACTCGCCAGGAGTGGCAGTGCAACCTCCTCCTCTTTAGGGATTTTATTTTTGTCATCTTGAGACAGGGTCTCGCTGTGCGGTCCAGGCTGGCCTTGAGCTCACTTTGTAGCCCAGGCTGATCTCGAACTCACAACGATCCTCCTGCCTCAGCTTCCCGAGTGCTGGAATTACAGGCATGAGCCACCACGCCTGGCTCTTTATATTATTTCAATAAATGTCCTTGCGTCCTACCTCCTTGGCCTGCAGTTCACCCTTTGTCCCCATGGGCTGGTCTGTGCACACTGAGGGGCAGCTGGGGAGTCTCGCACTGGTGGGTGGCTGCAGGGTTCCCTCCGAGGTGGGGGTGGGGGTGAGGGCCAGGAGGGGGAGGAGGAGGAGGTGCCAGCCCTGCCCAGGGATGGGCTTTAGGGCTGGGTGCGCCTGGGCGGGGCTGGTGCCTGCTGGGTTTTCACAGGGCACCCTGCCACCCTTTGACCCCTTGACCGCCATCTGCTCCTCCCTGGGAAACAGAAGCGCCTTCCCTGTGCCTTCCGGCTGTGGGTTGTGTGTTCTTTTCCCCAGTACTAGGATTCTGACCCAGGGCTTTCACACTGACCTGTACCCCGGCCCAGGTTATTTATTTTGTATTGTGAGACAGAATCTCACTACGATGAACTTTGGATCCACCTCCTGCCTCAGCCTTCTGGAATGCTGGGATCACAAGCGAGCACCACCACGTCCGGCTCATGGAGTCCACGCATGTGCACACTTACACACACACACACACACACACACACACACACACACACACACATGAACACGAGTGCGTGATCTTTTCAATGAGCACACAAACTGTAAAAGTAAAGCCAGATACATAGGAAAAGTCAACGGGTCCCAACTTTCCTGGCTTTCCTGGTCACCACTGTGGGGCAGGGCAGGCGGCCTGCAGGTGCTGGGGGGCCTGGGGCACTGTGGGGACCCTCAGCCTCTCCTGCCAAGTCTGAGGGGCTCCGGACATTTCGAGGTTTGGCTGCTAGATTTTTTGATGTCTTGGATGCAGGGAGATAATGGTGGCAGGTTCTTTCTGCATTTTGAAAATCCTCGGCCTGCAGTTGTAGGACGGCTTTTCCTGGCTCCCGTGGAGGCACACACTGTCCTCTCAGTCTGTCTGTCTGTCTCTCTGCCTTTCTCCTCATTTTTGTCCCACACTCACTTGCTGGCAAGTCCTGGCTGTCATGATCCTGACCCTCTAGCCTGGGTCCCCTCAGAGGTCACAGAGACCCAGGCATCGTGGTACACGCCTGCCATCTCAGCACTGGTGAGGCTGAGGCAGGAGGATCTCAGGGCGTTCAAGGCCAGCCTGGGCTGCGTATGGAGAACAGAAACAACCAAAACAAACAATGCAGAGGGAAGAAATGTGGACGGAGCCAGGAGACCATTCATGATGGAGGCAGGTGAGAGGGTGATCTGATCACAAGCCCAGGGACACCTGGACGCGAAGAGCTGGGAGAGCCCAGAAGAACCCTGGAACCCCCGAGACCCTCAGCCCCGTGCAGCCCTGGGTCTCATGCACTGGCTCGGAGTTGGAGGTACACAGGTGCGATCTGGGGTCACTGGGCTGTGGTTAGTGATGGCTGCCAGAGGCTGCTCCTGCATGGCACCAGCTCCAGGGTGACCCCCGGCTCAGGTGACACCTGAGAGACTTCTCCCTTTTATGCCTTTTGGAACCACTGAGGGGCCGGGTCCTGGTGCTATTGGAGCTCTAAATGATACAGGGAAGTACGGCTCCCCACCTGCTAGATGTCCAGCGTGCGGAGTTTGTGTTCCCCAAAACGAAAAATAAACTCTAAGGAATGCCGGAGGTTAACAGTAGTGAATTTTAGCTGGGCGTGGTGGCAGAGACACTTGTGCAGGTAACACTGGTCCTGTGGGGAACCAGGTCCCTGTGGAGAGAACCAGGACCCTTTGTGGGAGGGATGGGGTGGGGGCCCAGTCACCCCCACCCCGGGACTTCCTGGGCCAGGTGTGATATGATGGATGCGGGATGAGTGTGCAACTCAGCCCTGCGGAGGCCTGGTTAGCCCGTGGTCTCCAGGCCTGGACTTTGACAGGGACTGTCCTCCTCCTCTGCTCTGACTCCCTCGGGCTGGCCCTAATGGCTGCCTGTAGTATTTCTGCCTAACTTAGCTGTCCAGCGTGCTGGGTGGGGCCAGGTTGACATTCAGGGCCCTCTAGGGGATGACTGCAGCCTGTCCCTGGAACTAGTGGCTCATCTGTCCTCCTCCCTTCCTCCCCGCTGAGACAGGGTCTCCCTAGGTAGCCCAGGCAGGCCTTGAACTGGAGATCCTCCTACTTCAGCCTGAAGTAGCTGGGGTGACAGGTGTGTGTCACTCTGCCCAACCTAGACAATTTTATAACCCAAGAGGCCCTCCTTGACCTCTTGTAACTTGTCGCTGGCACACCCCGAGGTCGGGGCCCTTACTGTGGCTTGGCTGTGTGAAGTCTTGTCCCTGCCATGAGACTCTGATATCCTGTGGAGCTGCTTTATGTCAGTTTAATCCATGGCCCAATTAAACATCCTGGGGGTGGGGCGGGGAGTGGTTTACTCTCTCATGGCCATAAAAGGGGTGCGGTGTGACACTGGGCTCGGCGTGGGGGGACCTCAAGGACATGGAGCTCAGTGAGATGCCAGACACAGAAGACTCACAGCGTGGGCTCCACGGACATGACATGCCCAGGCTGGGTGACTCCCAGGACAGGAGGCAGACTCGGGGTGCCAGGCTGGAAGGGGCAGGGTGACTCTTGTTTTTTTTGGTACCGGGGATCGAACTCAGGACTGCGCGCTTGCCAGGCAGGTGCTTATGCCGCTGAGCTAAATCCCCAGCCAGATGGGGCTTTCTTTGCGGTGGTGAAAAGTTCTGGAATTACAGTTGAAAAGCTGCATTTGGCTCAGCTGGAGTCCTGAGCTCTGTGGACTCAGGGGCAGCACTGACCCCAAAAATGGAGCATGGGGACGTCCTGTGTGAGGGCCCCCACCCTGCGTCACCTGCACACACGCCCCATTCTGCTGAGACTCCGGGTGCTGGCCAGTGCCGGTGCTGCCCTCTGCCGGCACCTGTGTCCCTGGTCAAAGCCACCTGTCCCAAAGGAGCATGGCGAGCTAGAGCTTCAGGACTGGGACAGAGCTCGCAGGGATGCTTGTTTTTGAGACTGGCCTTGAAATGCAGTGACCCTCCTGCCTCAGCCTCCCAAGGGCTAACATTACAGGCCTGTACCACCCGCCTGACCCTTGGATTGGTTTTGTTTCTTGGATGCTGAGGCTGGAAGCCAAGGCCTTCCACATACCAAGTAGGTGTCCCCTGCAACACCCCTATCCCTGCTCCTCCCCCTCCCTCCCCATAATCTCCTGGGGAACAAGTAGGCAGTGAGGAATCCTGGTCGCCCTGAGCGGCAGGCCTTAGAGTGGGATGACTGGCGATGGCCTTCCCGACCCAGGACACACAGGGGACAAGGGCAGTGGCCACTGGTGGGCTGAAGACATCCATGCAGGTGCTGGAGGTGGACAGGATTCCTGCCACCGGCCTTTGCTATGTCCCAGGGGTCCCCCAGTACCATCCTGTCGGGGGGTGGGTCCCAAAGCAGGTCACGTGATTGCTAAATTATTCCACCAACTGATTTGGCACAGTCCGGGGTGTGGATCCCGGGAGGGCCCACCCAGGGTGTGGGTGGCACCACCAGATGACACAGCTGGTGGCCTCCTGCAGTGAGCTGAACAAACCCCTCCCCACCTGGATGTTCCCCTAGCCTGTCAGGCTCACACCCCAGTGCCCAGCTGGGGGACCCCCTCGAGCCTCTCATCCTGGGTCTCTGGCTCCGCCTCCTGGGCCCTGTCAGGTCAGCCAGCTGTGGGCAGAGCAAGCCAGCCGTGGGCTCCCAGGTCTCAAAGTCCAGGCTCAGCAGCTGCACCCTAAGTCACCGGGTTTGGCTTCAGTTTGTGATCCTCCTGCCTCAGCCTCCGAGTGCTGGGATTCCAGGTGTGCGTCATGCTGCCTGGCTACACTGTTAGGTTTGTACACCAAGCCCAGCTCTGCCTTCTCCTTCCTCCCCTCTCACATGGTCCCTCCCGTTCTTGGGGTGAGCGTTGAACCCAGGGTGCTTGCTGAGCTGGACCCCTAGCTCCCTTTGGAGAAAGGTCCTAGGCTGTCCACGCTGGCCTCTAACTTGTGACCCTCTTGCCTCAGCCTTTCCAGTGGGGGCCGGGGTCCGAACCAGCACACCTCACACTGCGGTGCTGGGGACGGGACCCCGGCCCCCGGAACGCCAGGCAGATGTGGTGTCTCAGCACAGACCACTGTCCCAGCATGCCTCCTGCTTTTTTTCTTTTGGTATCTGTGATCAAACCAGAGCCTCTGCATTGAGCTGTGTCCCTGGTAAATCCCCGCCGTCCTGATTCTGAGACTGGATCTCATCAAGTAGCTATGTTGCCTTCTCTGGACTTGAACTTGGGATCTTGATGCCTCAGCCTCCCGGAGGGCTGCGATTGCACTGGGAGCCGCTGCACCCTTATTGTGACCATTCTTGCAGATAAAGTGCAAAGGCGCTGACAGCTTCACATCTATCCCTCTCTTCTGGAAACTTCTCACCGGAAGCCACCCCCATTACCCCATATCTGCTTGGCTCATTTGTCCTTCTTCGACCTCCCGGAGTGCAGGGCCATAGTCAAGGAAGGAGGCAGGCGGGGCTGTGGCCTGGGGAGCGCTGCGCTGCCAGGTCCCTGGCCCAGAGGAAAGACAGCGATTGCCTGGTGCACTGGGTAGTCTGCAACCCCAGTACTCTGGGAAGGTGAGGGAGGAGGATTCCAAGAGCAAGCCCGGCTGGGACAACTTAGTGAGATCCTGGTCGAAGTGAAAAAGGGTGGAGACCAGGCTCTGGGGGGAAGACCTGGGTCCACTCTCCAGGATGCCCGGCCCGCTGCTGACCCTCTGAGGGTCCCCAGACCTGCTGCTGGCCTACACCCGGGGGTGACCAGCAGCCCTGGCGCCTCGGTCCTCAAGAGAGTGTCCAGCTCCTTGTAAAGTAGTTTTATTTACTTAGACTCAAACAAACTGAAGCAGGCAGCGGGCCTGGCCGCTGGCCGCGGAGGCTGCGGGTGCAGGTCCTGACCCTGTGGCGCGGGGCCCCAAACCCAGCACCCACCCGCCCGGCCCTGCTGGGCCTCGCCAGCCCCCACAGCCTGGGCCTCAGCGGCCACTGTCCGGGACACAACCCAGGGCACGGAGGGGCAGGGCAGGGCGGGGCGGGGCGGGCCGCGTGAGGTAGTCCGTGGCCAGGCTGGCGGGCGTGGGAGGTAACATCTGAGAGTTTATTGGGGCGCGGCGTCAGGACCCCTCGCTCTCGGAGCTGTCCTCATCGCCCAGGCAACTGCCGTCCTCGCAGTCGTCCTCGTAAAAGAGCTCGGGGCCCTCCTCGGGCACCGGCGCCTTGCTCTTCACGCAGTACTCGGCCAGCGTGGTGGGCACCTTCACGCCGTCCCGCTCCGCATCCACCTTGGTCCCCAGGACCTGCTTCCTGGGGGGACAGGGCAGGTGACGCTGAGCTCGGGAGTGAGCCCCTCTCATGGGCAGGAGGTGATGGACTTTGGGACCCAGCATGACATGGGCCACCAGGCCAGTCTGGATCTGTGTCACCAGACCTGAGACCCTGTAGTCGGAGAGCGGTGCCACAGTGCCCAGGGCCAGTGGGACTAAGGCCCCAGGGGACGTGGGCAATTTTGGGGCTGAAACCCAAACTCTTTCCTGATTTTAGGCAGGGGGTGGGGGCACGGAGGCAGCCAGGAGACCAGGCTGGAGCCACCATGTGGGTATCCCCATGTGAGCGTTGTCACCCGGTGAGTCCCTGCCTCAGCAAACCCCCAGCTCCCTTCCCAAAGGATGGAATGAGTCACCATCGGGGCCAGGAAGGACTGCATGGGTGCAGGGCTCCACTGTGCTTGGAGACCGGGGGTGGGGGGTGGGGGGGGGTGGTGGCTCCTGCCCTACCCCTGTGAGTCCACCCAGAAGATGCCGAGGACGCTGGGCAGGATGGGGCTGACTGTGATCTGGGCTGCTGGGGAGGCTGAGACAGGAGGCTCTCAGGTCAGAGGCTGGCCTGGCCACCTTGGCAAGACAGCGTGCTGCAGGGTGGCTGCAGAAACAGTGCCGACCCAGCACACGCCAGGCCCTGGGTTCCCTAAACCGGACCTGATGGGACCATGAGAACCCTGAGCAGCAGCTGCAGACTGCAGACCGCTGGCCCACGTGGTGGCCACCACTGGGGCACAGGACCTGGTCAGCCCGTGGTGGTGGCCCACGCAGCACCCATGCAGTCCTCCCTGGCCCCAGTGGTGACTCATTTCATCCTTTGGGAAGGGAGCTGGGGGTTTGCTGAGGCAGAGACTCACCGGGTGACAACCAGCCTGCCATGCCTACACACACATGTACCTCGGTCCCCCACCTGTAGCTTCAACAATGCCTTGACTGCCCTGGCGGGAAATGCTGCACACCTGCATCCCAGCACTCTGGGAGGCTGAGGCAGGAAGATCACAAGTTGCTACAGAATAACCCGGAGAGAGAGATGAGGTCTCAAAACAAGGAACAGAGCTCTTGGGGCTGGGGATTTAGTTCTGTGGCATAAGCACCTTCCTTGCAAGCATGCAGTTGTGAGTTCGATCCCCGGTACCAATTAAAAAAAAAAAAGGAACAGAGCTCCAGGCCCTGTGCCCCATTCTAACCCTCGCCACTGAGGGGCAGCAGCTGGGGCTCCCAGGGGCCGCTGCCAGGCCTGTGCTGCCTAGTGGGGCTTGGCCTGGGTAGGGATAGGCATGAGGTCCAAGTGTCCCCATCACAAGGGAACAATGCGGCCACTGTGTGCGTTTTTGGGTCAGGGCTGGTGTGGACGTGCCAGCTTCCTGGGAGCTGGGGCCCAGAGATGGGGAGCAGAGAAGAAGAGAGCTGGGGAGAAGTGGGGAGCAGTGAGGTCTGAGGGGAAGGCTGGCTGCGCTGGGGGCGCGGCCTGGCGCTGGACGCCTGCCTAGGCCCTGGAAGCCGCTGGTTCAACTGCCAGCACCAAGCACAAAACGAGAGACCCGGGGAAAAGCTCCCTGGGACAGCGTGGGCAGGTCCCAGGAGCTGCCCCCCTCCCCTGACCTCACTCCCCACCTAGGGCACCTCCCCTTCCCCTGTGGGCATCAGTGACAGGCTGGAGCAGAGGGAGCCCCGCTGTACAAAATCACGGAGCAAGCAGCTTCGCCAGGAGCCCTACAGGAAGGGGCGCAAGGATCTCTCCTCCTCTGGAAAAGCGGTCCAGTTTCAAAATCGCAAAGATGGCTGAGCGTGGTGGCTCAGGCCTGTAATCCCAGCACTTGGGAGGCTGAGGCAGGAGGATCACTGCAAGTTCAAGACCAGGCTGGGCTATAGAGTGAGCTCAAGGCCAGCCTGGACTGCACACCGAGACCCTGTCTCCAAAAACCCCAAAGAATCACAAAAGCTGCACTCAGGTGAGGATCCGACCTCAGACACACACGAGGGGAAGCTGCGCGCATCGCCGGCCGTGGGTGCTCTGTCGGGACCTGGCTGCACCCTCGCTTCCCGGGGCGGCGCTCACCGGATGATGTCCGTGTACTCGCGGTCCTTGCCTTTGCTTTCCTTCCACTTCCTGTACATCACCGAGGCGTCCACGTTGGCCGGCGAGAAGGTGTTGGGCTCGTTGAGCAGGGAGATCACGCTCAGGAGGATGGTCCTGCGGGAGCGAGGGGTCAGGGCGGGCACCCCAGAGACGCGGAGCCCCGGCCCTGAGCGCTGCCGCATAGGGGTGGCGGAGCCCTCACCTGACGTTCTGTGTGGGGTTCCACCGCTCCGAGGGCAGCTCCCCGCTCTGGGGGTCGTCGACTGGGGGATGTAGGATGGAGATGCACACGTCCCCCGTCTGCGAGGAGGCAAAAGCGGCAGACGTCAGCAGGGCGGCGCATGTGTGCCTGCGCCCAAGTCTGCACTTGCTTCCGCATGCCTGCGTGCACATGCGCAGCGGCACAGGCTTACCTCGTAGATGTTGGGGTGCCACATCTTGGTCAGGAAGCGGAAAGCTGGTGGAGAATACGGGTAGTCGATGGGGAACTTGAGCCGGGCCTGAAGGGCAGAATACAGGGTGCTCAGAGGAGCCAAGCATCCCTGGACCCACGCAGAGGGCAGATGGCACCGGTGCCTGAGGGGTGTATGTCCCAAGTGGGACTGGGACTTCCCAGCTGTCACCCGCACTTGGCAATGGGACTAGGGGTCACTGCCCCCCCCAAGCTCCCCAAGTCCAAGCTGAGCCTGGGGCAACAAGCGCGACTCCGCCCACTGCCTGAGGGTCTTGACAGGAAAACAAGGAAACCCCTGCTTCCCTGGGGATCCCCAGCTACCCAGTCAGGCCCTGGAAGTGTTTCAGGCTCCCAGACGTGGCGGGAAGCTGCCCTGCTTAGAGTTCCCTTACAGGAGCCCTAGGGGTTTGCAGCTGGACTTGGGGGGTTTAAGAACTGACCAAGGTTCTTTAAGGTCCCCCAGAGCCAGGGGTGGTTTCTAAGCCACGGTCTTAAAAGCCAAAGGCAGGAACACTGACTTCAGCTGCGCCCAGCGCCAGCCCATCCTTCTGAGCATCTCCAAAGCTGCAGGTAAACTGAGGCTTGGGGAAGGCAAGCACCCAGCCTAGAGGCACTCGGTGTAGGAACCCTGTGAAGGGCCTGTGCTGTCCCAACAGGACACCCATCTGCCTGCCTGTGGCTTCAGGAGGTAGCAAGGAAGCGGTGGTGGCCCTGGGCACCCTGAGATTTTCTATTTCCACATCCTCTTTGTAAGACCCAGCCATCCACAGCAGAGGCAGGAGGGTCCCGGTGGGTGGCAGCAGAGCCTTCTCTGGAAGTTGTGGTTAAGCCCGCTAATCCTAACCTGTCATAATCCCTTGCAGCTGGGGACCCACAGCAGCTCTAGGGCCCAGACCTGGACTTTAGGGTTGAACCTGGTCACCCTCTGCTGAGCTGAGGGTTCCCCCACCAGCTGCACCTCTTAAGCAGACAAAAAGAAGCTGCAGGCGCCACTCACCATTTGGTGACCTCTCCCCTCTCTGTTTTGAGTCCTCAGGCGAGGACCTCTCCACTGTCTCTCCCCATCCCACCTCATCCTGTAACTTTGAAAGGCAGCTCAAGAATCTCCCCAGGCCAGACAAGTTGGTTCATGTCTGAAATCCCAACACTCCTGAGGCTGAGGCAGGAGGATTGCCACGAGTTGGTTGGAGGCCAGTGTGAACTAACTACACAACAAAATCCTATCTTTTTTTTTTTTTTTTTTTTTTTTAAGTCTTTTTCGTTTTTATCGGTACCAGGGATCGAACTCACGACTGCCTGCTTGCAAGGTAGGCGCTTATGCCACGGAGCTAAATCCCCAGCCTCAAAATCCTATCTTTAAAACCCAAAATAAATGAGTAACTTAAGGAAGGAAGAGCTGTCCGGGAAACAAGGCTGCTGCCCTTGCGGCCAGCAAGCAGGTGGGGTGCAAACACAGACACCTGCACAGACCACTTCTGCAGCCAGTGCCGGTTTCGGCTTCTGCCTCTGCCTGCTCTGCTCCTGACAGGCAAGGAGACCCTGCCTCATCACACTGGTTCCAGACCAGAGTCCCACGTCCCTGAAAGCAGTTCTAAGGCCTTGCGAGGTCAAGACTGCCCTGATTTTTGTCCTTACTCTCTTCTTTTCTTTCTTTTTCGTCTTTTTGAGACAGGGTCTCGCTATGCAGTCCAGGCTGGCCTTGAGCTTGCTTTGTAGCCCAGGCTGGTCTCGATCTCGCAGCGACCCTCCTGCCTCAGCCTCTTGAGTGCTGGGATGACAGGTATGTGCGACCACACCTGGCTCTGATCTTAGTCTCACCACACAGACGCACATCCGCTCTGGGCGGCAGCCCTTGGCTCCCTGGTCCCAACGATAAAACACACCAGATTTGCTCAGCTTCAGACCCTCTGAGAGAGGCAGAAGACAGGGGCACCGGGATGCAAGATCAGGGCCCCAAGAAGCCACCCGTCAGGGGAACCCCAGAGAGGCAAGCAGAAATGACAAAAACACACCCCAGCTCCTGGCTCCCAGGCTGCAGCCGGCAGGGACCAGAGCAGCAGCCTGGGGTGCAGCTGAGGGACCAGTGTGGGTGTGGGAGCCCCCAGCCTCCACCCGCCCGAGGGCACAGGTTACATAAAGCCAGCCAAGGAGGGGCCGGCGCTGGGGCCGGGTGGCCGCTTTCCAGGCGCTGCGGGGACGAGCAGTGGCCTCGGGGCCGCCCTCGGTGCCCTATTGGCCTACGCGAGGCCAGTGAGACCCAGGCACCCGCGCAAGGCGAGGGGCCCCCACGCCCGCCTCGGTGTGAGGACCGGGGGAGTCAGGGCGCCGCGCCTACTCGCCTTGAAGTAGCCGCCCTCGTAGTAGGTGTCGGGCGGCCCGAAGATGGCCACCTCCCAGTTGTACAAGTCGCCCTCGTCGACCAGCGCCACGCGGAAGCCCTCCACCGGCTCCTCCTGCAGCCCCTTGAGCTCCAGCAGCAGCGCCTTCTGGGAGCTGGGCACCAGCGGCCGGGCCATCGCGGCGGTGACGGCGGCGGGGGCGGCGGAGGGGCCCGGGACCGAAGGCACACTGGGCCTCCGGGTCACGGCAAGCTCGCGGGACGGGCCGGCCCGCTCGCCGGCCGTGGGGGAGCCGCCACTTTCCTCCTCTGCTCCGCCGCCGCCGCCGCTGCCGCCGCCGCTGCCGCCGCCGCCACCACTCGGAAGCCCGGAGGGCTCCACTGGCTCTGGCGTCGCCGCCCACCCGGCGCTAGCCTCGGCCCTGCCCGCGGACCCTCTTCCCGAATGCGCCTGCGCGCTGCCCACCGGGCTCCAACTGCGCCTGCGGGCCGCCGGCGGCCCGGACTGCGCCTGCGCGCCCGCCCGCGGGGCACGCTGGGAAGCCGAGTCCTTTTTCTCCCGTGCTGCCGCCGCCGCCGCACAGGCGCCTCACACTTCTAGTCCCAGAAGGCCGCTGCCGCCGCGCCCCGCGCCGGGAACAGCTCCGCGGACGCGTGTGCGCGGGGACGCGGGCAGGACTGGGCTGTGCGGCCAGGCTTGGTCGCCGCGGCTTTGGGTGCCTTTTTTGTGACGTCCCCGGCAGTGGGTGGGGCTGTGGGAGGGGGATTGGGCGGAGTCCGGGGGGTGCAGCAACGGAGGCCCTTCCCAGTCCGGGATGGGAAGGGAAGGGCAGTGAAGACCGTGCTTGGTTGTTCGTGCTTGGGGTCCGTGGAGAGGAGGACTGGTTCGAGAGTGGGGGCTTCGGAGTCGGGCGTGGGGCGTGGGGTCTGGGGCAGCACCCAGGATGCTGAGGCAGGAGGGTCGCCAAGAGGTTGAGGCCACTCAGGGTTTCAGAATTGAGTTCAAGGCTAACCTGGACTACATAGCGGGACCCTGGCTGCAAAAAACCAAAAACAGCAACAAAACGAACAAAAAACCGGGCTGGGGTGGTGATAGATGCTTGTCATCCCAGCAGCACCCAGGAAGCTGAGGCAGGAGGATCGCTGTGAGTTTGAGGCCAGTGTGAACTGTATAGTGAATCATTGTCTCAAAAACAATAAGACAAATCCAAAAGAGATTAAAACTGTTAGACCGGTGTCGCGAGGAAGACTCCAAGGGCCTCGCTCTCATGTAAAAACAATGGGGTTTTTATTATTCCGTGTACACGGGGTCCTCCAAACAGGTGGAAACGGAGAACCCTGAGTTGGGGCAAGGCTGGTGTTTTTAAGGATGAAAACCGCAAAGCAAGCAAGCATTGTTACAGAAGCCAATCATAGCAGTTAGAGCAGAACAGTTGGTGATTTGTCCATTTGTGATTGGTCAGATCATGAGGGGTGACCAGTGGGTCAGAGTTGATTAACTGTCTTGTTTTGCACAGCTTATTTTTAGGTCACCTAGCTCCTGTGTGGCTTGGTTCTGACATACTTCCCAATCTTGATTAGCATAGTCAGCAGACTTTATCTCTGAGTTTCCTGACATAATTACCTTACTTTAGCACCACAACCTTTCTATTTGTAGAGGGCAACAATGGTTAACATATCAATTGGGTAAGATTTTACAATTCTTTACAGAAGAGAGCATTGATTAACATATCAATCTTTTACCCAGGGGAAAAGGAAGACACACATTTACAGTTACAGGTATTACTATGATATAAACGAAGCTATTTCTGTGAAGAATGTACAATCTAATACAATCTGATGCAATTAACACAATTTGTGACGGGGCTACCAGATAGAGAAGACCCAGGATGTCAGGAGCTAGTACCTCAGGCCTTTGTTTTATGGCCTTTAGGAAGTTAAAACTTAACCTAGTTGGATTTGAAGGGAGAAGGGGAGGGGAAGCAGCAGATGGAACGAGCTTTCTTCGTCTCTTCAAAACAAAACAAAACCAAAAACAGTGGAGGCTCCAGGCCTTACCGGCTTCCACAGGGCCGAACCTCAGTTTCCCGTAGAATGAAGCTGGGAACAGAAGCAGACTAAGGTCGAGGGGGGAAGACATTGGTCCCGTCTCCACACCACACCCTGTCAGGCAGCATGGAGTCCACACGACCCAGGACAGGATGCCCTAATTTTACCTAAGCCCTGCAGAGCAGATAGAATGCGGCAGACACAGGCTGGGCCGGTTCTGCCTCAGCTGACCCCTGGCCCTGGGCTCAGTGGACGGACCCTACCTGGCTGTGGTTTACCGGGTCCCTGCCCAGATGCCCACACACTTCCTGCCTGGACCTTGGGTCATGGGTGCTGGGGTGGGGGTGGCAGCTGAGTCAGGCCCTCCAGGAGGAGGGTGGACAGGGTGCCAGTGGCGTCTTGTGGCCCTGACTTTCTGGATGTGCGGGTGGGTCCTGGGCAGCTGACAGCTGCATGGGCACCTGGGGTAGGGTGGAGGGCAGCTCCCTCCCACAGAAGCCCAGGCTTCCAGCCAGGCCTCCAGAGGTGTGAGGTGTCCCAATGGGGGACCGGTGGGCGGAGCTGGCTGGCCTGGAAGGGTTGGAAAACAATGCTCCAAGTGTTGCTGGCTGGCTGGGTCCCAGAAAGACCTCTGGGCCTTCTGCCCACGCCCACTTTGTGTGGCACCCGGCTGGGACCCTGTCTCCTGTATCCGTGAAGGGGCTCTGCTCAGTAACCTAGGGACAGGCAGTGTAAACTATGGGGTCCCCAGGTCGGTGTGGGCCCGGAGATTAGGAACCTTCCAGAGGGTCTTGAGTGCTCTTTGACCCACTCCCAGGATGTCCATACTATCCATAAATACTGATTAGAATTAGTCAGGGCTCTAGTCTGTCTCAGAGAGATCTCCTTCTGTAATGGAGGTGCCAGCTTTCTGTTTGCAACTCCCCTGGCTCACCCCACATAGGCCCCAACTTGCCCAAGCATCTACTTCCAATCCATGGGACATCTTAAGAGTGGAGGGGAGAGAGTGGACATGGGGATTTTTTGTCTTTTGAGACAGGGTCTCCCCGTCTGCAGTTCAGACTGGTCTTGAACTTGCAACAATCCTCCTGCCTCAGCCTCCCGAGTACTGGGATGACAGGCATGCAGCACCATGCCCAGCATGGACATTGTGGATTTTGCCTGCTGGTTTTCTGGCCGAGGCACTAGGCTTTCCTTTGTGGTGAAGAGACAGGACTCAGTGGCTCAGTTGCAGCATGCGACTCCAGGCAGCCCCAGGACATTTGCAGGGAAGACACTGCCAAGGGACCTGAGCCAGGGTTATGGACCTTCCTCAGCCCTGCTTGTGCTGGATGCAGCCAAGCCTAATTTCCCCTGTGAAACTGGCCATACGTTTCTCTTGTTTTTTTTTTTTTTAAATGTCACTCAAGAGCCCTGAATTCAAGTTTGTGTTCTGCTATGACCTTGCACTTTAGAACAAGTGCTAAATCACCGAACTTTTTTTTTTTTTTTTTTTTAAATCGGTACCAGGGATCGAACTCACAACCATGTGCTTGCCAGGCAGGCACTTATGCTGCTGAGCTAAATCCCCAGCCCACAAGTGCTAAATCAAATTTCCATTTAATCAGAAAAAGTGTTAGGTGCTAGGTAAGATGGTGGAACAGGCCTGTAGTCCCAGCATGGGAGACTGAGGCAGGAGGATCACCACACATTCAAGGCCAACCTGGGCTACAAAGTTCATGGTAATCCTGAACTACAGCTTGAGACTGTGTCTCAAAAATAAAAAAAAAGTGTTAGGTGAGTTCCCGGGAGATGAGTTTAGCACGGAAGGCTTTGCAGGGACTTGCTCTTTGGCTGCTACGATGCCTTGTTAGGAAGAAAACCCTGATCTCAAGTAGAAAGTATGAGAAATATGCAGGCTCTTCACCTCCTCCCAGGGCAGAGGAAACTGCTTTTGATGTCTTTCTCTCTCTTGCAGCCCTGGAGATTGACCCCAGGGCCTCTGCACTGGGCTACATTCTCAGCACTGTTTATTTAAATGTTTGAGACTGGGTTTCACTGTGTAGCTAGGCTGGCCTTGAACTCATGGCAATAGTGCCTCAGCCTCCCAAGTCCTGGGATACAGACGTGTGCCACTATGCCTGGCTACTTATTTATTAATGTTTGGTACTGGAAATTGAATTCATGACCTTACTTCTTTTTTTTGAGACAGGGTCTTGCTATGTAGCTCAGGCTGGCTTTGAACTTGTGGTGATCCTCCTGCCTCAGCCTCCTGAGAGCTGGGATTAAAGGTGTGAGCCACCAGACCTATTTATTTACTTGTTTCCGAGGCAGGATCTTACTACATTGCTAAACTGTCCAGGCTTTGCAATCCTTCTGCCTCAGCCTTCCAGAGTGCTGTGACTGGCCCTGGATGTGGGGTGGGGGTGGGGATGGTGTATCGCAGCTACACACAGACACACAGGAGAGGGGGCCTTGCCGCAGATTTTATTTCTGCTGAGCAGGGCCTGGGGCAGGCAGGAGGCCGGCCAGGCACGTGTCGGGGGGCAGTGGTGAGGGACGGGGAGGGGGAGGGGAAGGGAGAGCAGTGGGGGCAGGGGCGGGGGGGGGGGGATCTTGGTCGGCCGGAGGACCGGGACCGGCGTCTGGAGTCCGGGGGCCTGGGGCGCAGGCCCGCCTACCCCACCGGCTTGACCTTGGCGATGAACAGGGCGGCTGCCTTCTCCAAGAACTCCTCCCGGGCCATGGGGGAGCTGGGCCTGCGCCCGGTGGCCGCGCGGTCCATGGCCAGGGCCAGGCTGTCGGGTCCAAGGCGCGAACCGGCCTCCAGGTAGCAGGCCGGGGTGGCGGCGTGGTCCCCTGCGCCCAGGGCGCCCTCCAGGGTGTCCAGCACGGCCTGGCCCACGCGGCGGTCGGCGGCCGCCAGCCCTGGGGCCTCCAGCAGCTGGAACAGGGCGGCAGCCCGCGCCACGAACTCCAGCAGCACGAAGCAGGTGAGCATGCCGGCGCGGAACACGGCGAGCGGCACAGCCTCGTGGTCGCGGCACTGGATCTTACGCAGCAGCGGCGCCACCACCTCCTCGGGGGCACGGCCTTCGCGGCAGAGGCGCCGTAGCAGCTCGCTGTAGGTGCGGCCATCCAGCCCCGGCTTCTTCTTGCGCCCGCTGGCGCTCAGGCACTCGTAGGCCATGCTGACGTTGTTGTTGAAGGCCGTCCTGGGGGTGGGGGACAGGGGTGTTGGGGATAGAGCCCGCCTAAAATCTGCCCACCCACACACCAGTAGGTGGCCTCAGGACCTTGGCACGGCTATGCCTCGGCCCAGAGGCTTCCCCAACCCCATCTTTGTTTCCTCCCGCTCCTTCTCTTGTCAGGGTTTTTCTTGGTCCCAGGGGCTGGAACCCAGGCCCACGCAGGGAGCCGTCCCCAGCCTCTTCTATTGTCCTCCTGAGCTGGTCTCCCTAAGTTGCTGAGTTTGCTCAGGCTGCGATCAGAATTGTGATCCTCCTGCCTCAACCTGCCCAAGTGCTGGGATGACAGGCGCACGTCACCAGTGCTCCAGGCAGGAGCTGATGTCCAGGTAGAAACTGGCCCTGGGTGCACTGTACTGCCCACTCCCAATCCCGCGTGGATCTCTCCCTCCCGAGGCCTGCGGTAGTGAGCGCACAGTACAGTGTGCAGGGAAACAGTAGATGGGTGTGGTAGCGCACACCTGTCCCCCCAGCACTCAGGAGGCTGAGGCAGGAGGGTCACCGTGAATTCAAGGCCAGCCTGAGCTGCACAGGGGACCCTGTCACAAGAAATAAAACTGGAAAGGAAATGGGGCAGGAGACGCCTCGTGCAGACCCCCCTGGCATCAAAGCCAGAGGCATCGGGGTGTTCGGTGCCAGGTGGGGTGGGGTGGCTGCTCCCCGCTGGTGCATCTTTGGTCAGTTTTGCGATTCCCCTGCCTCAGCTTGAGCTCCCGGGATGCGCCACCATGTCGGGTTTATGAACCCGGGACATGGCCAGCCCTGTGTCCTGGTTTCCCTCGCCTGGCATCTGCCACCTGTCCACCCACGACTCCCTGGCGCTGACTCTACCTCCCCTGGCAGCTGGGGCGGGGAACCCCGCTCTCCTCAGCCGCCCTGACTGTGCTTCCGAGCTTCTTCCTCCACCTCCGGGCCTCGTGGTCTTGCAAATCGCTCAGCTCTGACCTGGCTTTCTTCATCTGGAAAACGCGGACCCCACCCCCGCCCTCAGGATTCCTGTGCAGATGGACAGATAGACAGACTACACAGCTTGTGCCAGGATCCCAAGGCTGCATCTGGCTCGTGGGAGGGTCCTGTGACCCTCACCCCCAGCAGCCGCCACCCATCCACGCTGTTGATGATGCTGTTGATGATGTCCGCCGAGCCCTGGGCGGTGCAGAGCCGGAGGGTTGGGGGTGGGGCCCACATCCAGGCTGCCTGGCAGCTGCGCCCCCGGGGACGCCCAGGCAGCTCCTGCTGAATCAGAGGCAGGTGACTGGCGGCAGCTCCAGGTCTGACCCTTGGTTCGGCCAGCGCCCCCCTGGCAGCTGTGGCCAGCAATGTGGGGGCTGGGGATTTAGCTCAGCGGCATAAGCACCTGCCTTGCAAGCAGGCGGTCATGAGTTCGATCCCTGGTACCAATAAAAAGGAAAGGGGGAAAAAAAAAAAAAAAAAAAAAAAGCAATATGGTGGCCTCGGAGGCCAGGTCTCAGGGCCTGGTTCCTGCGCGCCCCCTGGTGGCCTCTGGGCAGCTTCGCGGGTCAGTAAGGTGCGAGGGGGGTGGGGGGCCTCTCCTCCCCAGCAGGTGTCCTCCGGGTCTCTCCGTCGGCTCCTGGGGTGGCCAGCACTTTGCGCTTCTCCAGTGACACCTGCAGAGGGCTCCCAGTGACTTCTCCACAGAGCTGCTCCGGGAGACGCTTGCTGTGGCTGTGACGGGGGTGTGACCTGGACCTGCCCCAATGTCTGGGTCCCTCTGCACCCTCTGTGGTCAGACCTGCCGGGGACCCCAGCCTGCCTGTGTCACTCTATAGGAGCGACCTCCTGAGGGTCAGGCTGGCCCTGTGGGCTGCTGGTGGCCTGAGCTGGTAACGCCTAAGGAAGGCGGGGAGCAGCTGAGCGGGGCTGGGGGCCGGGAGGGTCCTGGGCTGCCAGTTGTGGCTGGCTCTGAGCTGAGGCAGTCGAAGTCCAATGCCGTTAACACTAAAAGAACTCCATGACTGGGCATGGTGACGCATGCCTGTCATCCCAGCACTCGGGAGGCTGAGGCAGGAAGATCACTCTGAGTTCGAGACCAGCCTGGGCTACAAAGTGAACTCAAGGCCAGCCTGAACTACACAGCGAGACCCTGTCTCAGAAAGACATAAAGAAAGAAACAGGCTCAACTTCACTGATCCGTGATTGCTGTACAAACTGAACCAGAATCCTCAGCCAACAGGTAGCACCCTGGAAATCCAGAACAGGGACGCCGTCTTTCAGGGTACTGGAAGATGAGGTGACTGTCACCAGCAGGCTCAGGAATCAGCCCATGACTGACTGCTGTGTTCCCTGCCATCCTGCACTGCCACCACCGGGTGGTGCAATGTTCTTGTCCTTAGGAGACAGGACTGTGTCACCTCCACCAGGTAAACCCACGTGCTTTGAAGCAGCCAGAGTGACACAGAGGTCACATGAGGAGGGACACAGAGCTGACACCTCAATTTCAGAGAACACATTTCAGGTATTTTAAGCCATTAAACATGTGGTAATTTGTACTTCAGCCTAGGTAGCTTCATCTGTGATGGTGTGAGTACTTGGGCAGTGCTCAGCCTAAGCAACTGTCCATGTTGGCCTTGCTGCTGACTGTTTTTCCTTCTTGAAAGAGTCCTTCTGGGTGTCCAAGGGTGCCACATCCTCCGGGCATTTTCATGGTTTTCCAAGGCTGGGGTTCCCGCGAGGATGGCCCTGGGCTCCAACAGCCCCTCCCAGATGCCTCTAGTTCCAGGCCTGCATCTCAGTTGCGGACCCTCTGCCCACCCCTCCGTGGGTAAGCGAATTTTTGATGTTCTCCCAGTCAGTGTGCCCCACCCCAGCGCCAGCAGGCCCATCAGCTCAGCCCTTGACGCTGCAGCACCCGCCATCTATAGGGCCCCCAGACCCTGCTGCTCCGCTGCTGACCGTGCTGGGACTGATGCTTCAACCCGTGAGCCTAAGTGAACCTCCTCTCCTTTAAGCCGTAGGTTAGGGCTTTTGGTCCCATCCGTGAAGGAAGGAACTAAGGCACCTGAGATACCAGCTTAGTCCTCTAGTCATGGCCCTCTGACTGAAACCTGGCATCCACAGTGGTGCCCAGTGTGACATCAGTGACCTTTCCAAGGCTCATGCCATCGACACCCAGGGGACCGGTGACCAGCAGGGCTCCTGCACCCTACACGGTGTGAACCCATTCCAGACCTTCCCAGGGCCACAGTCCCACACCCGAGTGCTAAGGTGGCCTCTGAGCCCCCCATCTGCAGGCCTAGCCTTACAGCTCTTGGTTCTAGCTCAGCAGGTCAGAGTGCCATGGAGCTGCTAGGAAAGCCTGGCAGGGGCGGGCAGGCAGGACTGCCTTGTGACCTTGGGCCTAGCACTTTCTCACTCCAGGACCTTCGAAGCCAGAGGGGCAGGGGCTGGGGTGCAGGTCGGTGGCACACATGTCTAGTAAGTATGAGGCCCAGTGTCCATTCTCAGCATGCAAAAACCAATCCAAGCCAAACCAAATGAAAACCGACAATCATTGAAAGGAAATGCCAAGGCGGTGGGAAAGTACACCATTCTGAACCGCCTCTGCGCCACCAGGTCCAAATTCATCCACTTCTAGGACCCAACGGACTACAACTCCCAGAGTGTCCCGCGCCGGCTCCTGGGCGGGACGTAGTCGTGCGCGTGGCATGCTGGGAGCTGTAGTCTGACGCAAGTCTGCTCTACCCTGTCCTAGGAAGTATATGAACTACAGCTCCCAGAGTGCCCACGACGGTACCTGGGCAGAGAGCAGAGGTTCAAAGCGAGACGTGCCGGGAGTTGAAGTCTAGCCATACTCTCTCTTACACCCCAAACCCCGTGCTGTTCCGTACCTTTGCGAGTGATGAGCCAGGCGAAGATGCCACAGCGCGCGGCCCAGGCGCTGCTGCTGTAGCAGGAGCTGCCCCGGGGGCTCCCCGGCGCCGCCATTGGTCGGCGAGCGTAGGCCCATGTTCTCGAAGTAGTGCGCCAAGAAGGCGATGGGCTCCTCGGGCCGCGCCTCTAGCACCTTCAACAGGGCCGCGCGCAGCATCTCCGTCACACCGACCTGTCGCAGGAAGTCCTCCTCGCTCTCGACCGCTGCCGCCGTCCGGGACACCGACGGCCGGCCACTGTCTGTGAAACTGGCCGCAGGTGTCCCCACCGGCCGCCGCTTCTCCACTGCCGCCATCTTTGCTGAGGGCAGTGGGGCCGGAAGCGTTGCCGTATCCCAGCGCTTGCAGAGGCCTCGGGGGCGGACATCTTTGTTAAGGGCAGATGTCGCCCGTCTACCCATGTCGCTACCTAGGAGACTCCCGGAACTAAAAGAAGGCCATCGTTTTCCCTGGGTCTGATTAGCATTGCTCTTTGCTCCTCTTTGCAATGCCGTACTGACTAGAGTTCTCTGCTTTGGTCCTCAGCCAGAAGTTTGCCAGATTCCAAGATGGCTCCCTAAGAAGGGTTTGATTCCTGACATGAAGCCGTATTGCTTGCCATCTTGATAGTGGGCGAGGCCTTTATTAGCATGGTCGCTTAGCAACCAGTCTCTCTGGGTACCAGAGAAATTCAACCTAGAGAGAGGGAAGAGGGATCCGCCCAGACTCCAGGAATGAATGCCGCCTCCAGAGCCTTTTCAGATTCCGTCGCAGCCTCTGGTCTGGAGGTCAGGTTCGGCCCAGCTCTCAACCTCCCAGTCTCCCTGTGAGTCCGCGGCGCTGGGTTGGGGGTCGGTCCTGACCGGGTTTCTGCCACTCGGCTTTGCGGCTGTTTGCAGTGTACTGCCCAGGCTGTTACGCTTCCTGATCACTAGATGGCGCGTCTGCAATCGCTCTGAACTCTGCCCTGGCTCCCCAAGGCCCAAGTCTCCCCTTTCCTGTGTGAAATCACCAGCCCTTTCACTGCTCCCTAAAAACAAGGGATTTTTCCCCCACAAGCCGCCCCTCTGAGTCTCTTTATGTTTCCGTTCGCCAAACAATGTTCTCTTTTTTCTGGTACCAGGAATCGAACCCGGGGCCTCACTGTTGCCAGGCAGGTACGGTGACACTGAGCTACCTCCCTAGCCACCAAATAATTCCCCCCTCCCTCAGGGATGCCCAGCTTCTTGTTAACCTGCACTGGCCCCTCACATGGAAGCTCGCTAAGCCTGGCGTCTCCCAACCCAGCAGGTCCTGGTTTCCAGCCTGTGGACGCCCGTCACTGGGCTGTCACCCAGTGCAGGGAACAATCAGAGCTATACGGCGGCCCCAGTCTTCTCCCATCATGACAGGAGGCGCCAGTGGTCAGAGCATGTGGCCTTTATTCTCCAGCCGGGGCCCCTCCAGGTGGTGGAAGCCCAGCCAGTGGTGGACAGGGGTCGGGGCGCACAGTCAGCCCTGCCCTGGCCCAGGGCCCTGCAGCTCGCTGAGGGGAGTGGCCAGCCACTTCTCGGAGTCCTGTCCAGGACGCAGCCCCAGGCAGACAGGTGGGTGAGTGAGGTCCCCGGCTGCTGACCACTGATGCTTCCACAGGTGATAGGCGACCGGAGCCAGCAGCAGCAGCAGCCCCAGGGCCACGCCGCCCATCCACAGGGCTGTGGGCTGCGGGACAACCTCAGGGCTGGATGCTGGAAGGGCAGGAGGAAAGTGGTCAGGGGCCTGGACGCCTCTGCAGGCTCCAGAGCGGCCCACACCAACTCGGGGTCCTGAGGTCTCTCCCAAGGGATTCTCGGTGATCCTGCCCCAGTGGAACCAGGACCTCACAGGCTGGACCTGTCCAGCAAGGCGGCTCCCAGCCACTATCTGCGTGTGGCATGGAGATATTGAATGGGAAAGAACGGCCCATAGCACCACGCTGTCTCTCCATGACTTAGTGTGAAAATCGCAAATGTTATTAAAAATAATGTGAAATACCCAGTTCCCTGCATTTCCAGGTCTAATCTTTTTTGCTCCTCTCCTCCTCTCCCTGGCTCATGCTCTTTACAGCGCGGAGGGTGAAACCTGGAGTGTCTGCTCTGTGCCGCATCCCTAGGCCTTTTCAAGCATGTTATTTTGAGACAAGGACTCACTAAATTGATAAGGTCCCAGGCAGAGTTCAAATTTGTGATTCTCCTGCCTCAGCCTCCCACAGTGCTAGGCTCACACACACGCACCCCCCCCCATGCCTAGCTCTCTTTCTTTCTTTTTGTTAGTTTTTTTTTTTTTTTTTTTGAGGTAGGGTCTTGTCTTTTGTAGTCCATGCTAGTTTTAAACTCACCGTGTGACCCAGGCAGGCCTCAAACTCACAGTAATCCTCCTGCCTCAGCCTCCTGAGTGCTGGGATTACATGTGTGTGCTGCCAGCCAGGCCTGTCTAGGTCTGCGCCCCAGGGAGTCTGTCCCTCCCAGTCCCCACCCCTGGGCGCCGGAACTCACAGGCACTGGGGACTGGGCTCTGGCCTGGCACGTACAGGCTGGCCACCTGGCCGCCGGGCTCCAGCCGGCACTGGAACCAGCCCTCGGGGGCGGGGTCGGTCAACAGCGCACTCAGCCACGCCCTGGCCCCGGCCTCCCTCCTCTGGTAGGCGGCCAGGCCCCTGGGAGCCAGTGTCCAGCGCACTGTCACCCCAGGCCCGCAGGGTGCCTGGCACAGGAGCCCCCAGCCGGTTGCTTTCTCCATCACTGCTGGGGGTGCCTGGAGGATCTCGGGGCGGCAGCTGCGGGGGCTGCTGGTGCTGTGCGGGGAGAGGGGGTCACGGGGCTCCACGGAGATGGATTCGGGGTGCGCAGTGGAGGTGGATTCTGGGTGCTCTATGGAGGTGGATTCGGGGTGTGCAGTGGAGGTAGATTTGGGGTGCACTGTGGAGGAAGATTCGGGGTGCGCTGTGGAGGAAGATTCGGGGTGCGCTGTGGAGGAAGATTCGGGGTGCGCTGTGGCGGTGGATTCGGGGGGCTCCGGAGAGATCAGATTGGAGGGCTTCAGCGAGGTCGGATCCGGGGTCTCTGGCAAGGATGGACTGGGGAGTTCTGGAGTGGTCCGGCTGTGCAGGACTGGGACACATAGCAGCCCTTTGTTTGCTGCAGCCCAGGCCCCCCCACTTCCTGAGCACCCTCACCCAGATGGGGTTTGGGTGCAGCCCTCAAGCCCCCTCCCAGGCTACCCGGGTGACTGTCGGACGTCCCAGTGGGCAGAATCAGGCGGGAAACCCCGAGCCACCACCACCTTTCCATCCTTCTGGCCTTTCCTCCCGCCAGAGGCTGGAACCCAGGGCCCCCCACGTGCTGGACAGGGGTTCAGCACTGGGCCATGCTCCCCCAACCCTCTGTTATCCTCTGACACAGGATCCTGCTAAGTTGCCCAGGTTGGGCTGAAACTTGGTATCTTCCTGCCTCAGCCTCGCAGTGTGCTGGGATGACAGGTGTGGGCCCTCAGGTCTGGCTCACAGAGCCCATTAAACATCCCAGGAGTCCTGCTGCCCCTTTGTGCCATCACGAGCCTCCCTGGCCTCTGGCCTGCACTCCACGCCCCAGCACTGCTGGGACCCCAGGGTCTTCACCCGCCCGGAGCACACACAGGTCGGCCCTGTGCCAGGATCCCTTTCTGCTGCCGAGGATGCAGCCTTGACTAAGCCATGCAGATTCCCAGCTCTGTGAAGCCAACAGTGTAGCAACAGACAGTGGACACAGCGGAACATAGCAGGACCCCAGTTGTGGATGAGGGTGTGGAGAAACAAGATGGAGGGTCAGGTGTGTGTGGCCTCACCTGGGGTGGGGGTGGCCCTTTACCAAGGGAGCTCAGGGGCCACCTTCTCAGGGTCACACTGGAGCACAGAGGCAGGAAAGTGAAGGGAAGGAGCCTCTGTGGCAGGTGCAAAGGCCCTGGGGCAGGTTGGAGGCTGGCTTGCTGGGAGGAGGCTGGTGTGCACAGAGCAGAGGGAGCAGACTATGCAGGAATCTTGGGGCCTGGACAACCCCTAACCCAAGGGAGGTGGGAGCCAGGCAGGGCTGAGGGAGGGTGATGCCCGGGGCCCACCTGGAAGGGGCTGGCGGTGGCTGAGCTCCAGGCCAGGCAGCCGCATGGTGACCTGGCAGTGCAGGGTGGTCGGGACTCGGGGCCTCAGGGCAGGCAGCAGCCAGCGTTGTGTCACCCGGAACAGCGGACCCTCGGCCTCTGGGGTTGCTTCCTCCTCTTCCTCCTCCTCCCTGCCCAGGATCTGGACTCCCTCCAGCTCCTGGTCCCCCAGAATCAGGGAGAAGGACAGTGTGTCCGGGTCCCAAGGTGTGACATTGTGAGCTGTGCACCCGACCTGTGCGTCCTGCTGCTCAGGCTCCAGAGCGGCCGGGGAAACAGTCAGCTGGTCCGGGAAGGCTGCGGGTGGAGCCCCGGGGTCAGCACAACTGGGTGGGGTGCAGGGTCTGGGGCACCAGGGGAGGATCCCAGGGATCAGGACGCAGGTGCTCGGGGCTCACCGTAGACCAGGACTTGCACGCGGTGCTGGAAGGTGCGGCCGCCGCAGGAGCCCCTGCACACACGTGGACCCTCGTCCCTGAGAGACACGCGGTGCAGCCAGAGGACGCTGCGGCCAGGGTCGGAGCGCACGGAGCCCAGGCCGGTGTCCAGGCCCCGCCAGTGCACGGCTGCCGGGCCAGGGGCGCAGGCCAGGCTGCAGGTAAGGTCCCGAGATGCGCCCAGGGCCACTGCCACCACGGGGTCTGCTGGCTCCACAAGCAGGGGCTGCCCTGCGGGGACAGCAGTCAGCTGGGCCCCCACCCCACGCTGCTTCCCGAGCTGCAGCCCCTGGCTCCCCCCGCGGTGCCCCCTGCCTCTTCCCTGGGCCCCAGGCCCCGCTCACCCTCGCCCGGCCGCAGCAGCCCCAGGACCAGCAGCAGCTGCAGGCCACGCACCATCCTGTCCTGGTCCTCCACCAACGATGTCCAGGCAGAGGCTTAAGTAGCCTGCCCCCCCTTGACGCCCCGCCCGCCACTCCGGGGGTTCCCGAGGGGCTTTCCCGGCCTGACCCTGGCCCCCGGCAGGCTGCAGAGGGGAGGGGAGCTGGCTGGTGAGAGCCAGAGGAGCGGGAAGGCCTGGGCAGGCTCCAGGTGACCTCCCCCACACAGCTTGACAGAAGATGGGGACATGGGGATGAGGGCGCTGGAGAGGGACCAGAGTCCTCTGCGGTGAGGGTGCCCTGCGCTGGGGTCTCCCGGAGTCGGGTCAAGTCACCCAGCTGCCCGCCTTCCTTGGGGGACACAGAGGGCTCATCACCTGGCCCAAGAGCAACTGTCCCATGTGAGTTCAGGGCTGGCTTTGACTATATAGTGACACCCTGTCTCAAAAACACAAATTGGCACTTGGGAGGCTGAGGCAGGAGGATCGTTGCAGCCTTAGGCTGCCCGGTGCCCAAGGTCCCTACTGCTTGTGGCCTGTTGCTCACACAGGTCCAGCTAGCATCGGATAATCCACACCCTGCCTGCCTCCCTCCACAGGCAGCCTCAGGGCCTTTGCACAGGCAGCAGCCATCTCTGCTCAGCGTCTGGCCAGGCCCTGCCTCCCCTCCTGACTTTCTCCAGGAGCGCTGTCCTCCCAGGGAGGGAGCTCTTCTGCTGTGGCCCTGCCCTGACCCCAGCATATGCGGATTGGTCCAGGTTTGACTCCAGATGACCTCAGGTGCTGGCTGCCTGTGCCTCAGTTTCCCCATACTGAAATAAAGGAAGGCAGCCGGGCACCATGGGCCCAGGCACTCTATCAGAGGCAGAATTTGAGGTTCAAGGGAGGTCGGAAGCAGCTGGGGGAAACTGAGGCCCAGAGAGAGGGCCCTGTGCCTGAGGCCCAGGTGGGCCCCATGTGGACTTGGGCTGTGGCTCCTGTGGTCCCCTCCCCCATGCTGTCTGGGCCGGAAGGCTGCACAGGAAGGCTCCAAGGTGCAGGCGCTCCCCGGGAAGCTGGGCCCTTAACCTGGGCGGGGGGCAGGGCACGGCTGCTTCCCAGCCCCTGACCCCCGCTTCCTGCTGCTCCCCAGGCCGGCCGGCGACGCACGGCAAGTGGGGGACTGTGGGCACCAGGCGGGCTGAGGCCCTGGGACGCCTGTCCCCACCCAGCCCTGCCTGGGTGTTCACGGAGCTCAGCCCAGGGCCTGCCTGTGTGACCGCAAGGGGCATGGAGAGACAGAGACAAAGAGAGACAGAGACAGAGAGACACAGAGACAGAGAGACAGAGAGACACAGAGAGACAGAGACACACAGAGACACAGAGAGACAGAGACAGAGAGACAGAGAGACAGAGACAGAGACACAGAGACACAGAGACACAGAGACAGAGAGACAGAGACAGAGAGACAGAGACAGAGAGACACAGAGACAGAGAGACACAAAGACACAGAGACACACAGAGACACAGAGACACAGAGACACACAGAGACACAGAGAGACAGAGACACACAGAGACACAGAGAGACAGAGACAGACAGAGAGACATAGACAGAGAGACACAGAGACAGAGAGACAGACAGACATAGACAGAGAGACACAGAGACACAGAGAGACAGAGACACAGAGAGACATGGAGACAGAGAGACACAGAGACACAGAGACACAGAGAGACAGACACACACAGACAGAGAGTCAGAGACAGAGAGACAGAGAGACACACACGTGCATAGTGACCAGGAGAGGACAGGTGGGCAGGGCCCATGAGGAGCTCTCAGCAGAGGTGGACAGGGACAGAGAGAAAGAGACACAGACCGAGACAGAGACCGACAGGGAGAGATAGATGGAGACGACAGATTGATGGATTGGGACGGGGCCACCAGAGGGAGAGAGAAGCAGAGACATTTGAGCGCTGGCGCACGCCCATCAGCCCAGCTCGGGAGGCTGAGGCAGGAGGATCCCTGGAGTCCCAGACCAGCCTGGGCTATACAGAGAGCTCAAGGCCAGCCTGAGCTGCACAGTAAGACCCCGTCTCAGGAAGACAAAGACCAAACACACACACCCCAAATCAAACAAGAAAACCTCACTCCTGCCAAAAAAAAAAAAAAAAAGAAAGGAGACAGAGGGGCCGGCTGTGGACGCTGCGGCCTGGGGTGGGGGGCTGAGGAGCTGGGCCCTGGCGCCTGCACCCCCTTCCGCCCACCTGGGCACCGCCCGCCGCCTTCCCGGCACAGGAAGCCCCTGCCCAGGGACCGACTGCCGGGCCCCGCATCCGGCCTCTTGAGTGGGGCGTCACCCACGGCCGCCTGTCCCTGCCAGGGCCCCTCCCCCTCGCATCCCCCAGCACTCTTGGTTTGGGGTCTTTGGACCCCAAGGAGGACAGCGGGTGATGGGATGGAGATCGAGCCTCCAGCAGACCTCTGAGGGCGCCCACCCCACCGTGTGGACCGTTTGGCGGTGGGCAGCGTGGGGTCCCCACTCTGCCCCCGCTCAGCCTGAACCCACGTCACCTTCCGAGGGGCTGAGGGGAGCAGGGCTGGGCTTTGGTGGCTGACCCAGGCCTGCAGGGCCCCTGTGCCTGCTGGGGCTGGGCAGGAGCTGGGCTGTGCCCTGTGGGTGGTGACGGCCCCTCGGGCCCTGCCGGGTCCTCTCTTGCTCGATGCCTCCCTGCCTGGTCCTGGGCACACGGCTTGGGCAGGAGACGCTGAGGATCCCTGCGTGTCCCTGGTGGTGAGTGTGGGTGGCGTGGCGGGGTCACAGCAGGGCTGGGCAGACCCAGGAGCCCTGGCCTGTCCACCAGATGGCCTGTCCTTCCCGGTCCCTGCCTCTGCCGAGCCCCAGCTCTGCCTGTCCACCGGCCCCTGCGCGGTTGGGTGTGATGTCCCCGTCTCCCTGAGAGGAGCTCCCTGCCCCTTTCCTGCTGCACCGTCTGGGCCCCCCATGTCGCTCTGTCTCACGCCCCTGGGTCTCCCTGCGTGCAGCCTGAACCCCAACTCCAGCCCCACTGATCACCTTCTCTCCCTTACCTGGGGGCCACCCCGTCACCTCCCAGTCCCTGGCTCGGGGGTGATGCCCGACACTCTCTTTGGTCCGAGTTCATCCCCTGGTCCTGGCCACCACCTTGCCTGGTCCTTTCTGTCCCTTGGGGGCAGCAGACTCACTGAGACAGGGTCTGCCTGGGGGACTTGGCCCCCACTGAGACGGTAAAAGCCATGTCTGGCCTGAGGCCAGCAATACCTTCAGGATATCATCATATTCCCATGCCAGGTAGGTGCCAATGGCCAGGGGCTGGTACAGGTGGGTTCCAGAGAGGGCTCACAGCCTGGGGCTCTCAGGCTGAGGACAGGTGGCCACAGAGGATCCCCAGGCCCATTCTTCTGGGTCCCCGTCTCTCTCTGGGCAGAGACTGGTTAGCCGCCAGACCCTCTGAGCTGAGGACCCTGCCACCCCCTGAGGCTTCCTCTGCCGGAGCTTGTCCCACCGGGGCTGGTGACAGGAGCAGGATTCTGGGGTCAGCTGAGTGGACCTGTGAGGTGGCCTCGGAGGCCAGGAGCCTCCCGTGGCTGGGGGACAGAGTCTGGACCCACTGCTACTGTGGGGTCTCCAGAGCTTGGGGGCGCCCAGAGCCTGCTGAGCTGGCCACACTCAGAAACAGGTTCTCTGCAGATGTTGCAGGTTTGAGGAAGCCTGAGTAAGTGGCCCGGTGTCCTCTGGAAAGATGACCAGGATGACAGCCATGTGATGATGGAGGAGAAACAGGGCCACCTCCGAGGGACTCCTGGGGCACCAGGGAATGTGGGGCCTCTTCAGGGCAGATCGAGATAAGGCAGAGGTGCTGGTGAGCCTCTGCAGGCTGAGGGGGCAGACAGGACACTGCTGGGGACCCCGGGCTCAGCGGCTCTTCAGATTTAGCCAGGCCTAGTGCACACATCCCGGCACTCTGGGAGGCTGAGGCATGAGGATCTCAAATCTGAGCCTTGTCAGCCTCAGCAAAACCCCATCTCCAAATACAACACATAAAAAGGCCTGAGGACGTAGCTCAGTGCAAAAGCTCTGGGTGCAGCCCCCGGTACCGGAAACAAATAAAAATAAAAAAGCAAAGTACTTAAGAATAAATGGATAAAGGCCAAGACAGGGGCAGTGTTGCAAGTCTGAGGCCAACCTGGACTAGAGTAAATTCAAGGGCAGCCTGAACGACGTGGTAAGACCCAGTCTTGAACTAAGAATAGCAAAGGCAATTCTGGGCAACAAAAATAAGGCAGAAGGTATCACAATCCTAGACTTGGAACTATACTACAAAGCTACAGTGATGCAAACAGCATGGTGCTGGCAAAAATCTAGACCTGAGGATTAGTGGAACAGATATCCCCGGTATCGATAAAAAGGAAAAAGACCCCCCTCCCCCAAAAAAGATGCAGAAACAAATGCAGACACATTCCGCCACCTTCTCTTTGACAAAGGTGCCAAACATGTTCACTGGAAGAAAGATGAATGGCTCTGGGAAAAACTGACTCTCCACATGCTGAAAACTCAAATGAGGCCCATATCTCTCAACATGCACTAACTGAGACAAAAATGGATCAAAGACCTAAATATTAAAACAGAAACACTAGACAGATATGTTGTGAGACAGAATAGGCAAAACTCTTGAAGACACTGGTGCAGGTAAAGACTTTATTAACAGGCCCAGGGTTTAGCTCAGTGGCATAAGTACCTGCTTGGCAAATGAGAGGTTGTGAGTTCGATCCTCAGCAAGGAAAAAAAAAAAAGACTTTATGAACAAAACCTGACTGCCCAGGAACTATCACAAAGAATCAACAGCTGGGATCTCACCCTACTGAAAAGCTTTTGCATGGCAAAGACTTCAAAAAAAATAGTGGCAGTTTGTCATAGCTAAATCTTGGAAACAACCCAAGTGCCCATCAACCAATGGATGGATAAAGAATGGAGTACTATGCAGTCATAAAGAAGGACAAACGAGGTATTTTCAGGTATGGGGATGCAC